CATGAAATTTCTAATCCAGGAAGTTTTTACATTTTAGTCATCTTTGTGCCTCCTAGTATAGTTTTAAAGTTTTCTTTTTGTATGATTTAGAAGAATAAATTATTTGATAAAGGAGGTAGCACAGATTAATGTGAAAAGGTGTAATAATTCAACAAATAATGTTGGGACAACTGACAATTTGATAAAAAAAATAGGCAATTTTAGAACCATACATAATATAGATTTAAAAATTAAGCTGTAACTCAACAATAAAAAGATGAATAACCCAGTTAAAAAAGAGGCAATGATTTGGAGCACCTGGGTGGCTCATTCACTTAAGTGTCCAAGTCTTGATTCAGCTCAGGTCATGATCTCAGGATCACAAGATCAAGCACCCCGTTGGGTTCCACACTTGGTCAGGAGTTTCCTTGAAATTCTCTCTCTCCCCCTCGCCCTCTGTTTCTCTGCCCCTTGCCCTGTGATCACTTTCTCTCTCTAAAATAAATAAATACATCTTTTAAAAAATGGGCAATGGTTTCATAGATATTTCTTCAATGAAGATATGCAAATGGCTAATAAGCACATGAAAAGATGCTCAACATCACAATCATAAGGGAAAGGCATACCAAAAATCACAATAAAATATGTTTTACACCCACTAGGATAGCTGTTTAATACAAATATTAGTGAGAATGTGGACAACTTGGAATCATTATGCATTGCTCGTGGGAAAAGTAAAATGGTGCACATTGGAAAACAGTTTTCAGTTTGTCAAAAAGTTAAACATAGATTTACCATATGACTCAGAAATTCCAGTCCTAGATATATACCTAAATAATTCAAAATACATATCCACAAAAACATTACACATGTTCAAAGCATTATTATTCATAATAGTCAAAAAAGCAGAAACCTAAATGTCCATTAGCTGATAAATGGATAAACAAAATGTCATATATCTATACAATGGAATATTAAACAATAAAAAATGAGGTATTGTTAGATAATATGGATGAAACTTGAAAATTAGCTCAGTGAAATAAACCAGACACAAAAGGCCTCATATTATATGATTCCATTTATATGAAATGTCTAGAATCAATGAATCCATACAGACAGCAAATTAATGACTGCCAGCAGGTAGGAGGCTGTGTGGAAATGGGAAATAACAGCTAATGGGTATATGGTTTCTTTTGGGGTAGATAAAAATGTTCTGGAAGCATGTAATGATAGTGGTGATGATTGCATATCTTGGGAAGGTAGTAATAAAAAACAAAAACACTGAATTACACACTTTAAAAGGGTGAATCCCATGGCGGGTGAATTATATCTGTTTTTAAAAATGAAGAGAGATGGTGATGGGAGAATAGAGGGAGAGGAAGCAACTCTTTAAGAATGCATTCCAAGGAGATCCTGGGTGGCTCAGCGGGTTAAAGCCTCTGCCTTCAGCTCAAGTCATGGTCCCGGGTCCTGGGATCGAGCCCCGCATTGGGCTCTCTGCTCAGTAAGCAGCCTGCTTCCCTTGCTCTCTCTGCCTACCTCTCTGCTTACTTGTGATCTCTCTCTGTCGAATAAATAAATAAAATCTTTAAAAAAAAAAAAAAGAATGCATTCCAAGAGCTTAACAGTAACTCCATTTCTTGGGAGAAATGGAAACAGAAATTCCATTTCTTGGGAGAGAAATGGAATTAAGTGGTGGAAAGTGGCAGAAAGTTACAGTTTTGGTTTTTCCCTCGGTATGCTTTTAATTTGTTTAAGTCTATGACTTTTATAGAAAAAAATAGCAATAATAGACATATTTAGCAAAATTTGAGGAAGAAGTGTTCTAAATCCAGAAGCTACAAAAAGAACAACTATATGGTATAGACAAGGGATTTCCAGTTTATAAAATTTTGTTTTTAGCAGTGGAACGGCTTTGAAAAATGAAATCTCCTGAAGATATCCAACACACGTAAGAGATGAAAGTAGAGTTACTTTGGTTGAAGGGCAATGATGGACGTGAAATAAATGCATTCCCCCCCCAATAATACCTCAATTATTCAATTATATAAACCTAGAACTGCTTTACAGAAAAACATATGGTTGCTAAAAAAAAAAAAAAAACAACAAAACTATTTCAAATGTATTTTCTCATCTTCTCTAATGCTATAGCATTTTCTTTCTACCATTCTCTCATCAATTAACTACATCCCATAACATTTCCCTGATGTTATTTAGAAGCTGTTTTTGGGCGCGCCTGGGTGGCATAATCAGTTAAGCATCTGCCTCCAGCTCAGATCATGATCCCAGAGTCCCAGGATCCAGCCCTCCATCTGGCTCCCAGCTCATTGGGGAGTATACTTCTCCCTCTCCCTGTGCCCCTCCCCCTGCACTCTCTCTCATTCACTCTCACTTTCCAAAATAAATAAATTTTTTTAAAAAATGGAATCTGTTTTGGTAATTTCTCAGGTGCCAATTCTCCAACTAGAGTACTTCCCTGTATTACTTAAAGTTCTTCTAAAATGTTGAATGATTTATTTTAACCCTCCTAAAGATACCTAAAGATACAAAACGAGGCTCAAAGAGATCGAGACTTAAATATTTTCTTGTATTTAGGCAAGTACTAAATATATGCTCTTAATTACAAGCATCCTGTTAGGACATACATAGTATTTAATTATATTAAATGAAAAATCTACACTGCACTTATGTTTTAGTGTTTCCTGTTAGTATAGTCTAACATTTAATTTACTCTTTTTTTTTTTTTTTTAAAGATTTTTACTTATTTGATAGAGAGCCAGAGAGAGCCAGAGAGCACAAGTGGGGGCTCAAGGGTGGGGGTAGAGGGGCAGCAACAGAGGGAGAGGGAGGCAGACACCCTGCTGAGCAGAGAGCTTGATGCAGGACTTGATCCCAGTACTCTGAAATCATGCCCTGAGCAGAAGGCAGACGCTTAGCCAACTGAGCCACCCAGGCACTCCCAACCTATTCTTGACACATTTATGTTAAACCAGAATTTCTGTTAACTTTATTTCTTTCATTTAAATACCTTATCAATGTGTACTGGATAATCACTTGAAACCAGATTCTGACATCTTTCTCGATTTCCAATCATCTTTCTGAATTCGAAGAGTCTATTATAAGGGGGAAAAAAAGGAAAAATTCAGTATGCCCATTGTATTGGAAGTGTATAATCCTGAAAAATTTGCAAGTCCAATTCATAAGCTATGTCCAAATTTAATTTGAATCATTAAAGAAAAAGATGAGGCTATTGGCTTTTATTCAAGCTGGACATTTTGTCTCATAAAATATGTGAGATATATCATTGTTCAAAAAGCAATTAACACATACAAGACTCAAAATTAAAGGCATAAATCCTGAAAATTCATTTTCTAAATATTTCCATGAACTACAGTATAGCTCAGTTTTATAGCTATTACAGATTCCAGTTACTCGAGGAAGCTCAGTCCCTGGAAACGCTAAGCAACTTAAAAATAATTAAAGCTAAAAATCTAGTTTGTATTTAAGAGCTCTTTAATTTTAAAATTGCTTTTAAAATAGGTCAATTTATGATTATATGGTTTAAAACTCAAGAGAAATAATTAAAAAGACAAAAGACAAAAGGAAATAATGACATGTTTCATATACTTTAATGTTTAACTTGCCAATCACTTTATATTTATAGTAAAGGATTTTATCACTGAAAAAAAAATTGAAATGTTTACTACAACAAATTTAGAATAAGCAAATTCGGGGAAAAAAAAGTTTACCTTTTGAGATCTTCTGGCCTCCCCCATCCTCTGATAAAAAGTTTTGTGAGGAGAAGTCTCCGGTATAGAATATCTAATTTGCTCACACCCATTAGTAGCAAACAAACATCTATAAGACAGGATTTAAAATGACTTTAAAATATTTTATTTTAGGCAGCAGGTCAATTTTCTAACCATCTCTTTATCAGGTAAAAAATAAAGATTGATCTACTCTCTTTGCAACTTTCAAATATGTATTTTTAACTATAGTTACCATGCTGTACATTACATTCCCAAAACTACTTATCTTATAGATCTTAAAAGTACTTATCACAAAAGAAAAAATTTCTAACTATGTTAGGTGATGGTGTTAAACTTATTGTGCTCATCATTTTACAATATATACATATATCAAATCATTATGCTGTAAACTTTAAGCTAATAACATGTCATATATTAACCATACATCAATAAAATTGGAGAAAAAATTAAAGACTGAGATTAAATGATGTACCTTGAGTTATTCTCTTGGATATAAGATATAGAAAAAAAGAACTGGGATAAAAGTAGAGAAGATATACTCTATTCCTTTAGGGAAGGATCTTTCCATCCTCAGCACAGTGACTAACAGTAACACTCAATATTTACTGGATAATAATTGGAGGGCTATGTAGTACTGTATTATCTGCCAGGCACCATTTTATAAAACTACAAACACACACACACACACACACACACACACACACACACACTCTCTCTCTCTCTCTCTTGTTTAAACCTCCCAGCAACTTTATGAAAAAGAATCTATTACCCCAAGATGAGGAAACTAAGCCACAGAGAAATTAGGTGATTTATCTAAGATCACACAGCTATTGGTAGGCAGAACTAAAACTGAATCCCTGACACACAGCAATTTCTAACTATTATTCTACACTACCTGTCTAGACTATAGTGAATGAAAAGCAATAATTAAGCAATGCTATGTTGTATCACTTTTCTATTTTTTCCAAATATTTCTAAAACTTTGTGTTTTGATTTTTAAAAGATCTGCCTCAATCTTTTCAATTTAAACAGTGTAGTTTTGACTTGTGAGCAAAATCTGATTCAGTTTCAGAGTTTATTCTACTTAGAAAAATGGAAAATGGAAATGTGCATTTCCATCAGTGAGATTTAGTAAGTACTTATCTATTATTTTGAATGTTTTCATGGAACCACTACTTATGTTTTATACTTTTGCTCTTTGATCTGTAACAAAATATGAGTTTAATTTAATGTTCTTCTTTGTTTATATAGGTATAAAATCTAACCCATTATCCAAATGGGCTAGCACTTTATTTTTATGACTGGACCAGCAAAACCAAATCCTTCATATTGCCTCTCACAACTCTCAGGACCAAGAACAAACATTTACTAGATAAGGTACTTATTAAGCAATATAATTTATAATATTTAGCATTTTTTAATACCACCCAACTCTCTTTCTCCTGATTCCCATGTGCTATTCAATTTCCATTCTTGATAAAAATTTGGTTTTGGCATAATCATGCTAAAGAAAATAACCCATAATGTATATCCAGCTTTGTTTATACTATTTATATATACCATCATAAATAAATAAACTAGTATTCTGATTACTAGACTACAATGAATTATCATCAATTAGTTCCCCAAAGCTAAACCATTCTAGGATGGCCTAACACAAATTTAAGTTTCTGAACTTCTTAAGAATATTACTTTTTAAAAAAAATTATTTATTTATTTGACAAAGATCACAAGTAGGCAGAGAGGCAGGCAGAGAGAGAGAGGGAAGCAGGCTTCCTGCTGAGCAGAGAACCCGATGCGGGGCTTGATCCCAGGACCCTGGGATCATGATCCGAGCTGAAGGCAGAGGCTTTAACCCACTGAGCCACCCAGGCACCCCAAGAATATTACTTTTTTTCACTTAAGCAAAAGGTATATATTAAATGCTTACATATGCCAAGAATTATTTTAGGGCATATGTTAAAAGATGATCAAGGCACATTGTTCATCTCACAGATCTCATATTTTAGTGGAGGAAAACAAATTACTAAAAAAAATAAGCAAAGAGTAGATGGATGATGACAATACTATAATGATAATATAACAAGAGAATGTGATAAATACCAGAAGCCTCCTCTGACAGTCAAAAAAAGTCCCACTTAACCAAAGAGGTAACATTTAAGGCAATACCATTAACAATAAGATGCCGCCAAGACTTTAAACTGCTAATCTCATTAAAATCATATACTTCCTCGCGTCTACTAATGGACGATGTTCCAATGAAATCTGTAAGAACTATCTAGTTTGTAGGTAAAGCACAGGAACAAATAATTTATGTAAGAGGATATTCAAGAGAAGTGATTATGTAAGTCTCTTCTTTATTTGCTAATTTAAAGATGTTAAAATTCAAACAATACGGAAGTAAGTATAGTAAAAAAGGGAAGAATAATCTTGTTTCCATTACCTCCAATTTTACTTTTCAGAAACATTTAGTGCTAATTTGGAATCTTATCTTATTGACACTGTTTAGTTACCTACACAAACTTTAAAAAAACTTACTAGTTATATTACATATTTTTGGCAGTAATTAACAACATAAAAATATACAGCATAGGAGCACCTGGGTGGCTCAGTTTGTTGAATATTCAACTCTTGGTTCCAGCTCAGGTCATGATCTTGGGGTTGTGGGATTGAGCCCCACAAATGGCTCCATTCTCAGCACAAAGTCGGCTTGAGATTCTCTCTCTCTCCCTCTCCCTGCTCCCACTCTCTCAAATACATAATCTTTCAAAAATATATACATAGAGTAAAGATGAGAATTCTCTCTTCTTTATTTCTACTAAGTTTCCTCTCCTCCTAAAAGGTAAACACTATATTTAATGCTGTATACCTGTGACCTCTATCCATTCATACATGTACACATATTTTAAGAGTTTTGGTGTGTTTGTTTTTAAACACAGAAGAGACCACCTTCATTATCTGTCTTTTTCCAATGTTGTCCTGCACCCTGCTGATTTATAGTACTGTCTCATTTTTTTCTACTAATAGATGAGCTTAGACCATTTATATTTATTACTATGATACCTTTTGGGTTTAGTTCTTTAAGATTTTTGGTTTTGATTTTCCATTTTTAAAAAATTATTTACATCTAATTGTCTTATATTTGAGTGTATATAAATTTGAAAGAGATCTATTTAAGGTTCAATATGTCATAATGGCTACCTCTACTATGTGACTTTGAGCAAGTTACTTATCCTTTCTGTTAGTCATCTGTAAAATGGGGATAATAACAGTACTTACCCCTTAGGATTGGTATGAGAAGTAAATGAGTTAACATTTATGAAGCATTTGAACAGCACTTTGCAAATTCAAGTGCCATACCTACAAGTAAGAGCAACAGTATTACTGATTATCCATATCGTGGGTCTCCCAATCAAATGGGGGGCCACCAAATGTGCAGTAATCCAATCAGATGGAGGCTGGGGGCACAGGTGCTGAAAGAATTCATCCAAGTCAGAATAATGGGGGTAAAAGTTTACTGAATACACTACAAGGAAGTGGCCTGCAGGACAGCAAAGCAAAGACTGCCACAAGACGGTGGTAGGAGGCCACAATTTGAGGGCAAGGTGAGGCCGTACAGCAACTTATGGAATTTCCCCTTTTTTGGTAATCTTAAGGAAAGTAATCTCAGTAATCAAGCATGGGGCCTGGGAGAGGACAGTGGGCAAAGGGAAAGGAAGAGAGAGAATCTTAAGCAGACTCTCTGCTGAGAGCAGAGCTCCAAGCAGGGCTTGATCCTAGGACCCTGAGATCATGACTTGAGCAGAAATCAAGAGTGGGATGCTTAACTGACTGAGCCACCCAGACGACCCAACTAATTCCTATTTTTTAAATCTAGAAGTCTTCAGGGTGCCTGGGGGCTCAGTGGGTTAAGTGTCTGCCTTCAGCTCAGGTCATGATCTCTGGGTCCTGGGATGAAGCTCCACATAGGGTTCCCTGCTCAGCGGGAAGTTTGCTTCTCCCTCTCCCTCTGCACCTAACCCCTGCTCGTGCTCTCAATCTCTCTCTCAAATAAATAAATAAATAATCTTTAAAAAGAAATCTAGAAATCTTGTATAAACTTAGATCTAGTTCTAAAACCTATACCCCATTTTTAAAAGACCTTTCAAGCAGCTCTTATAAATGTTGTTTTAGTGTTTAAATGTCTACAATGAGTTTTCCATATACATCCCATTTATGTTTATCAAAACTTATAAAATATCCTTTTTGCAATATAACCAGTAGTGTGTACAATCCATATATTAACTTAGTAACACTTAGTATTTTTTAGTCTTTCCATCCAGAGTTTTGTTTCCTCCATTAATATTTTATTCTATCCTTTAAGTATTTTTATGAAGCATGTTACAAGGCTAACAAATTATTTAGTATTTGTGAGAACTACGCTAAATAGGATTCCTTTTTCCTTACACTTTTTCTTTAGATGAATATTCCTATTTCATAAGAAAGAGTTTATTCTAGATTTTTTCCTTCAATCACACAACTTATGTATTAGAATTACATTCCAGGAATGAGTGTATCAAATACTTAGGGGAGATTTATTCCTCTGTGATGGAATATGCATCTCTCCACCATGCCATGCCATTCCTCCAAATTCTTACAAGCTAAGCCATATCAGAAACCCAAGATCATAAGTCATAGAGTGAAAAAGTTCCATGCATGTTACCAACTTTCAGGATTACACTCCTTAATCTATTATCCTAAGGATTTTTATAAGACTGCCTTTAAAACAGATTTCTGATTTAACATTTTTCTAAGATATCTTTAATGATATACCTTTTTTAGAGAAAATAATGATCTGAAAATGAAATAAAGCTAAAGATATTTTAAAAAATAATCTGTACTAAATATATCCAATTACAAAATGATACCTTATAGAATTCTGCATGGAAAAATATTAAATAAATGACATAAACATAAAATCTTAGTGTCTGTTATAACAGGTTTAAAAATAGTATCTCAAAAGAACAATATTATAAATAGAATAGAGGAGAGATACTGCAAACTTATCTATAAAGGGTTAGATAGTAAATATTATAGGCCTCACAAAGCAAGAGGTAAAATCAAAGGTATTATGTAGGTACATAAAAATTATAAAAAAGAAAACTAATATTCACATAATTTTTAACTGAGGAAATTCAAATATAATAATAATAAGCAATATTTTATAATATAGGTCTAGAAATGAGAGAAGTAAAATTTTTTTCTTGGAACTTTGTGTAATGGGGGTTCAAAGTTAGTACCAAATTGAGTACTAATGTTCATCTGTAAAAACTACTCTTAGTTCGTGGGCCATACAAAAGCAGGCAGGTTGGCCCACAGACCACAGTTTGCTGACCCTTGGGCTAGAAAATCAAATAAATCATAGACATGTCACAAATGTCACAATAATGTCACAAATGCAAAAATACAACTACAAAACAGTACATTATTATAAATTATCCAATCCTATAAAATGGTATAGGTAAAATGTAAATATTTGATTTTAAAAGAAACATGTCACAAGGCAGACCTAAAATCAGTATTCTATCTAAAACAAACACTAGTTATTTAATTAGCTATGTTTTGTTTGCCTTCTTAAAATTCATAATTTGGTAGCTAAAAGGTAGAAAAAACCCACGTGTCCATCAATGGATGAATGGAAAAGCAAAATGTGGTGTATACATACAATAGATTATTCAGTCTTAAAAAGGAATGAAATTCTAACATACGCTACAATGTGGAAGAACCCTGAGGACATTATGCTAAGTGAAAGAAACTAGTCACAAAAAGACAAATACTGTATGATTCTACTTTTATGAGGTACCTATAGCAGCCAGATTCATAAGCAGAAAGCAGAATGGTGGTTACCAGAGGTTAAGGGGACAGAAAAACGGGATGGGTATTGTCTAATGTGTAGAAAGTTTTGGTTTTGCTAGATGTAGAGTTGTATAGATGAATGGTGGTAATGTCTGCACAACAGTATGACTGAACTAAATACCACTGAACTGTACATCTAAAAATCGTTAAGATGACAAATTTTATATGAAGTGTATTTTACAATAAAAAAATTGAAAAATTTAGAAACTGGAGTTAATTTTTCTTTTTTTTTTTAAAGATTTTTTTATTTATCTACTTGACAGACAGAGACCACAAGTAGGCCGAGAGGCAGGCAGAGAGAGAGGTGGAAACAGGCTCCCCACTAAGCAGAGAGCCAGATGTGGGCTCAATCCCAGGACCCTGGGATCACGACCTGAGCCGAAGGCAGAGGCTTTAACCTACTGAGCCACCCAGGCGCCCCAGAAACTGGAGTTAATTTCATAGTTTCTCTACAAAATTCTTCAGGAGTTAATTGATATGTTCTTTCCCTCTTGACAACTTTTTCAGTAAGCAGAAACAGTTCACTATCCTAATGATCTAAGAATAGAACTCAAAGCATGTATTAGTCTCTTAAAAGAATGCTACAGCATAATTTAAATATTTGAAGACCTCACTAATGCCTTTAAATAGAAGAATTTTTGAAGAACAGATATCTTTAATTGGTTTCCCCCATCCTCTTACTTCCCCTTTCTTGAGGATTAGTTTCCAAGAACCCAGCCTACCTATGTTTTCTGCTTTAGAGTCTCATCTAGCTTTAATCAAGGTGTGGGCTGTTTGTGTTTCCATCTGGAAGCTTGACTGGAGAAAAACTTGCTTACAAGACCATTCAGTTTGTTAGCAGAATTCATTTCTTCACAGCTATAGGGCTGAGAGTTTCAATATTTTGCTATTTGTCAGCCAGAGGCCAACCTCAGCTCTTAGTGGCTATCCATGGTTCCCTACCACATGGCTCCCTACCACATGGCTCTCTCCCTAGGAAATTCACAAAAGAGCAGCTTACCTCTCCAAGGCCAAGAGGACAGTGAGACTGAGAGTGCTAGCAAGGCAGAGTCTAATATAACTTAATGTAACCATGGGAGTGTCATCTCACTAACTTTGCCATATAACATATCATCATCATGGGCTATTTATTTTCTCTATAATGGCTGGAAAGGACGGGGGTTAATGTCTTCCTTTATAACATACACAGCATCAATAGCAGATTCCACATTAGCAATAAAAAACTCCAAAATTCTGGGGCACCTTGGTGGCTCAGTTAAGCCACTGCCTTCAGCTCAGGTCATGATCCCAGGGTCCTGGGATCAAGCCCCACATCAGGGTCCTGGGATCAAGTCCCGCATCAGGCTCCTTGCTCAGTAGGAAGCCTGCTTCTCCCTCTCCCTCTGCCTGCCGCTCCCCCTGCTTGTGCTCTCTCTGTGTCAAATATATTTAAAAAAAAAAAAAAAAATCTTTAAAAATAAATAAATAAATAAATAACCCCAGAATTCCAACACTCATATTTTACAGTAAGAACAAAGAACAATGTTCATGAGACATCCCATTTTTCTACCCAATATTCTTCTAAGATGGTAAACAAAGGCAAATATACAAAAGCAAAAAGTTCAAGAGAAGCAGGAAAAGACCTAAGAACAATGAACTCTTCAAATATTTTATAAGGTAGCATGTTTATTATATGCCTAAGTTGTTTAGTTATTTCTCATTTTCAACCCTATACCAGAAAAGCTTTCCAAATCACTTTAATTCCATATAATATAGGTCATAACAATCAGCACTCCAAATCTAGAGTGAGCATATTCCTTGCCGTATTTACCGACAGTAAACCAGTGACCAATAATTTACAGAAAGCAAATCAAAAATACACATAACCTGCTGTAAGTTTGGCTATGGCATTTAGGATTACAAAGAACTTCTTAAATCCCACTTCAGTCCCAAGAACAATATTAAGGTCTAGGTTTTCTGTGATGTTCTAAACACCTAAGTCTAGGTAAGGCTAACTGCTATCTAGTGTCACCATGACCAGATAATAATCTAAGTTCAGAGTAAAGATAACTCAGTTCATCAAAAAGAGGCACCATCAGCCAATCAAATACTTAAAGCTCCTACATCTGACTGGATTGACCAGTGAATTCTGCAGAGACAGACCCATTTTTTAAGTATGTGTGTCAAGCCAAACTGATACAATTATCATCTTCATTTTTATATAGGCAATGCTAAAGGAAAACTCAAAGTACTTCTACAAAAGTAGACGTTCCATTACAGTGCCAACAAATGAAGTCTTTCCTAGAAATGAGCTCTATTGCTGAAGTGGCACTCAGTGTCTATATGCCATATAGTACTTTTATCTCCTATCACTCTAATACTTCAGCATTTAAACATTAAAATCCTATTTTTTTCTGGATTTTTATCCTCATAAAGTTTATTTGTTCATTTATTTTGAGGGGTTGCTATCTATTCTAAGCAGTCATCTAAGGAAATTCAACAGGTGATTGTCTCTCATCCTTATGTGAATCATTCAGCAAATAGTCTAATCTTTTTTCAAATTTAGCTCTTCTTTTCCACGGGATTTAAATAAAGTAATTAAGATTTTTAAAAGATTTCTTAAACGTTTACGGTGTTTGGATGCACTGTTCCTAAGAAATAATGTTTTTTTCTCTCTTTTTTTCCTATGGTACAATACATAGAGCTTATTTAGATTTCACCAGTTTTACACACACTCATTCCATGTACTTTTGTGGTCTAAAGTCATCACTTGGAGGTAGCAATGGAAAATAGCAGTGCCAGAAGACCTAGGTTCCTTCACTAGCAATGTGACCTTGAGTGCCACCTTAATCTATAAAAGGGGAATAATACCTGGCCTACTATGCACACAGTAGCAAATTATTCAATTTATATAAAAATTGGTCACCTGTTTTGATATAAAGGTACAGGAAAAGATTCTTCTTAAAATTCTTTTCACAGGAAGGCTGCTGTGAAAAAGCACAGGCTTTACATTCAGGAGTCCTGTATTTCTTGGATTTTTGCTCTGATATTTATTCATGGTGTTGACCCTAGGAAAATTAACTATTCTTCATGCTTTCACTTTCTTTCTATGCTTACACAATTCCAACTCAGAAAACTGTTGTAGGGATTAAATGAGGTGAGTCATTAAGCACTCACTCACCATATATTCATCTAGCAATTATTCTGCTAGATTATTCTGTCCCTTTGTGAAATGCTCACACACACACACACACACACACACACGCTCTGCGCTAGACTTCAGGGATTAAAAAAGAAGTCAATGATACATTAAATCAATGTTATGGCAAAAAAATATTATTTTTTTAACCTATATACCTTCTTGGAACCAGTCATAGGATTCTGATAAGTTTTTGAACTGTTGCAAACAAATCTGCAAAACTGAATCAAGTCTGGATTCAGAAAATAGTTCTCAACTAATAGAAAACAAATTTCAAGTTTAGCTGCTCGAGTGGAATGTGCCTGACAGAATAAACAGAAGAAGGTCACAAACAAGACAAAGGTTAGAAGTGATGGCATATACTACACAACAGATAACTAATACAGGGTCTGGCATAGGTAACTGCTTATAAATATTAGTTGAAAGAATTGAACTGAGTCCCAACTCTGCCACTTTCTTCACTCCAAGTGATTGGGTAAATTGTCAACATCTCTGAATCTTAGTTCTCTATAAAATAGAAATGTGTCTGCTTTACCGATCTCATAGGACAGCTGTAATCAAATGAAATCACATGAGAATGTACTAGCACTAATAAAACAATTGTGACACTCATAATGACTACTGCTACCAAATACCTTACAAGTCTACTTGTAGAAGTAAAATGTTAATATGTAAGCACCAGGAAAGAGACAGCATCAAGATCTACCGAAACAAAACAAAACAGAACACCCCTGTTTTCTAAAAAAAAGTCATCTTCTTCATGATAAAAGGAGCTGATCATTGCTAAACTGGTGCTGGGCCTTTTTCTAACCTCTAGGTTGCAGCAGCAGGGTCTGCTAGTGGCATCTTGCAAGACTGAATCCCCCAGTAGGCGCTGGAGACAGTGAGATGTCGATCTGAGGATCAGCAGATTAGAAAGGGCTGCACCCCACCTTCAAAGCCCCCATCAACGCCCTAACAAGGCACTACAGGGAGGGTAGTTAGCCTTTATAGTTAGCCGAGCGAGAAAACAACAGCGCCAAGACAATTCCATCTTCCACCGGGTAGGAGACTGCCCGCCAGCCTAACTCAACCCGGGTCGGCCAAAACGTGCCCTAAAGCCCCGCCTTGTCCAGCGCCCGGGACCCCCGCGTCTCCCGCCAAGCCTTGCGCCCCGAGTCCCTGCTTCCTGGCACGTACGCAGTGTGTCGAGAGGCTCCAGGAGCGCGGCCCAGACCGGCTACTTACTTACCGAACCGGCAGTTCTTAGGGCGCCTGCTGTCCTGCCAGCCGAGACTGCTGGCGCTGTCCTTCCCCTGGTTCCCAAGACTTGCCTTCCGTCGGAGCCACAAATGCAGCAACAGGAACCTTTCCAGGAACCCAAGAATAAAATGCCCAGACAGCCAAGTCTAATGAGAGGGACGAGCCCGGGGCGGGGTAGCCGTTTAGGCACGCCCTGAACCCTCCCCGGCTCTCTCAAGCAGTCCGGGTTGGCGGAGAAACGTGAACCAAAGGAGGACTAGGACACAGGGCCCCACCCCTGACCTCTTCCCGCCCGGCGTGGTCGCGACTCCCCCGTGACTCCCTCTCTGACCTCGGGCCGCTCCGCCCATTTCTAGTTGCCGGGCACGCACGCGCACTTGCTGGCTTGTTTTGACAGCTTGGACGAGTGGGATGGGAGGGAGCAGGATGTGTCGCGAGAGTTGTCCTCATACCGCCTTGTGGGCGATGTAACTATGGCGAGCCTGAGGATCGAGGCCGAGCAGGAGCCGCTTTTAGGCGACCGCACACCCGGAAGCAGGTGAGCGGATGTTGGTGGAAGGCCCCCTCACCTTCCTACGCTCTTGGGACTGGCGCCTTTCCCGGCGTCAGCCTCACGGGGTAGAACGTAGGTTTCAGGGCGGCGGGGGCCGCGGCCGTTCGCGCGAGACCGGGTGATGTAATGCTCCTGCTGCGGAGGAAAGAAATTCGGCCGCGCGTCGCGATGAGTCCCCGAGCTCTGTTGAAGGTGTTGGAGAAATTCGCACTGCCCCTGAACCTTCACTCCCAACAGCGTTGCAGCATTAAGCCACCGAATTCTCCATTCCTCTACGGAGCTCATCACTTTTACACATTTCACGAAAGCTCTAAAATGATGGTTTTAATCGATACTTGAAGAAACCTTAGTATTGGCTTAATTGCGTGATAACTTTTTGATACTTCGTTAGCAAGTAAACCTGTATAAAATGAGCACAGCTTTCTTCTATGCCAAATATATGAAGACCAATTTCTTAGCGTTTAAGGATGAACTGTGGTTCTACCCTTATATTTCTGGTTGTTTTGATCCTACTTTATGGACAGTGATTCAGAATTGTTCGGTTTGTCTCTTACTACGCAATTAAGTATTTTTGTCTTTCGGAAAACGGAATTATTATTTTGTTTGAAACATAATTTATCAAGTAAATTAATAAATACGCAGTTCAGCTGTCAACGACCGTGTGAATTTTTGCACATTTGTCTCTCTTAAGAACTAAACTTTGATTTTAACGACTTTGTTTGAAACTCTTTGGACAGTGTATTTCCCTGGTCCCCAATTTATTGAACGGAATATATGTATTGCGATTTTATGTACATTTTACCTTGAGATCAATACAATTATTATCAATCCCGAAATATTCTATAATAGAAGAATGTACTCAGGCCTATTGAGACATTTTGTACTATTTGCTTCTAGTTTATTTTACACTACTTTTTTTTTTGAGATTTTATTTACTTATTTGATAGAGCATTAGCTGGGTGAAGGGCAGATGGAGAAGCAGACTGCCACGGAGCAGGGAGCTCCATGCAGGGCGCCCAGAGCTGGAGGCAGATGCTTAACCTACTGAGCCACCCAGGGGCCTTTTACACTACTTTCTTACTAATTTACTCTATACTTGCTATACGTTCAAAGTTTTATGTCTGCTTTTTAGTTTTTCTACCTGTTCTGTTGCTAGCAGACTACTCCTCATCATGGATTTGTTACGTATTGACAGCTCTTGTTTTTGTTGCTGTCAGCAGCCTCTCTTCTCCCAGCTTTTGAGAATTCTAGTTCACCGCTGCTTTGAAAGCCATTTCTAAACTTAATGTGCAGTTTATGTGCAGTTAGAACATGGAAGCTATGACTAAGGACTAACCAACCATCTCTTAGTCAAGTGCATGTGCTTCAGCGCATAGACTTTGTGACATTTGGATTTCTCAAAGTTCTTTTTGCTTCTACCTAGTTCTTGGCTATTTTTCAGATGGATTCAGGATCCTTGAGTTAATAGTTAGATGTGGTCTTACAGTATATATTCTGTCACCGTGTCCAAATAAATCTACTTCTTACTGTTATATACCCTTATATTTCATGTCTGAGTGATTGAGGCTCATTAGGATGCATCTAAATTCAGATGTTTTGTCCATAAACAATACTTGATTGAGATTCTAGATTTAGCATTTTAAAAATAAGGGTGTATTTTTTTAATAAGGGTTTATTTTAAGGATAATTCAGTAAGTATTCTGTCTTTTAAAACATAGATTCCTTAGTAACATGAACATATATGTAACTAATTGGAAAGCCCTTTTCCCTGTGAGTAAATTATAGAAATTTCAGCCTAGTTTACCACCAACTTTTCTTCACTAAGAAGGTTAATTTTAATATACTGATCTCGCGAGTCCTCAGTGGTCTCCACTGACCCCATCTGTAGTGTTTAAGAGAACAAGGTATTGACAAATTTTTTCTGTAAAGGCCCAGATGGTAAATATTTTAGGATTTGCAGGACAAGAGGCAAAACCAAAGATATTATTTAGGTACTTAGATAACAAGAAAGAAAACAAATTCTCAAAAAAATTTTAGTAATGAAATTTAAAATATAAGTGAATAAAATTTTTTGCAATACAAATCCATAAGAGGAATAGAATTTCTTTTTTGAGGGTGACATTTTGCTTAACTAGAGTTAAAAGTTGATGTTTTCTAACAAGTTGCCCACAGATATTCATCTGTAAAATCTATTCTCCAGTAGAAACTGGTGATCTAGAAACAGGTGATAGGTTGGATTTGGACTAAATACTATAGTTCACTGATCCCTCTTTTAGAATATCCTAGAAGGTTAATAGGTGCTTAAAATTTTTCTTTGCAACTTTAGTGTAATTTCTGTAACACAGATATTACTAGGACTTCTGGTCTCATACAGCGTATCCTTATAGAATATTCTAAATTTATTTTTGTCTTCTAAATTTTATACTGTAACACTATTGCACTGTTCTGTCAGTGAGCACACACTTTTTTCTCTTAATCTTCTTTGAATATGGGCTCTTTTTTGCTCTCCAGTAGTTCACAAATGCTCTCTCTGGTAAATACGTAGTTTTATTTTTCCCTCAGTAGATCCAGAGTCATTTTTTGAAAATGAAGTACTGCTGTTTACCCAAATCTCCTTGTATTAAATCATGATCTATTGAACCTAAATTTGGCATTTTTTGCTTATTCCTGTTAAATTTTATCTGACGTATTTTGGTGATAAAATCCCCCCAGGATTTTGTGTATTCTTCCTAGTTTTTAAGTTACAAGTTTGACAAATTATCTTGGAAGTGTGGGATTCCTTCTTATGCCTCTTTGATACAAGAAAGAAACCTTCAGAATACTCAATCTTAGCCATGTGACATGGTTGGTTGAATCATCACAATTAAGAAAATATAATAAAAATGGTAACTTGGGACACCTGGGTAGCTGAGTTAGTTAAGGCCTCCAACCACTGGGAGTGCCTGGGTGGCTCAGTCCTTAAGCATCTACCTTTGGCTTAGGTCATGATCCTGGGGGTCCTGGGATCAGGCCTGCGTCCCGTTCCCTGCTCAGAAGCCATCTTGTCCCTTTCCCACTCCCTGGCTTGTGTTCCTCTCGCTCTCTCTCTCTCTTGTCAAATAGATAAAATCTTTAAAAAAAAATTTCCATCACCCAGTTGCTCCATCACCCCATCCGCCTCCCCTCCAGCAACCTTCAATTTATTTCCTGTGATTAAGAATCTCTTATCGGGGGCGCCTGGGTGGCTCAGTGGGTTAAAGCCTCTGCCTTCGGCTCAGGTCGTGATCCCAGGGTCCTGGGATCGAATCCCACCCATATCGGGCTGTCTGCTCAGCAGGGAGCCTGCTTCCTCCTCTCTCTCTCTGCCTGCCTCTCTGCCTACTTGTGATCTCTCTCTGTCAAATAAACAAATAAAATATTTTATTTAAAAAAAAAAAGAATCTCTTATTGGGGTCGCCTGGATGGCTCAGTGGGTTAAAGCCTCTGCCTTTGGCTGGGGTCATGATCCCAGGGTCCTGGCATCGAGCCCCTCATTGGGCTCTCTGCTCAGCAGGGAGTCTGCTTCCCCCCCCCTGCCTGCCTCTCTGCCTACTTGTGATCTCTGTCTGTCAAATAAATAAATCTTTAAAAAAAAATAAAAAATTTCATCGTTTGTCTCTCTCTCTGATTTCATTGTTTTATTTTTTCCTCTCTTCCCCTATGATCCTGTTTTGTTTCTTAAATTCCACTTATCAGTGAGATCATATGATAATTGTCTTTCTCTGATTGACTTATTTCCTTTAGCATAATACCATCTAGTTCCATCCACATCATTGCAAATGGCAAGATTTCATTTTTTATGGTCCGAGTAATATTCCATTGTCTATATATACCACATCCTCTTCATCCATTCATTTGTTGATGGACATCTGGTTTCTTTCCATAGTTTGGCTACTGTGGACATTGCTGCTATAAATATTGGGGTGCAGGGGCCCCCTTGGATCACTATGTTTGTATCTTTAGGGTAAATACCCAGTAGTGCAATTGCTGGGTCATAGGGTAGCTCTGTCTTCAACTTTTTGAGGAACCTCCATACTGTTTTCCAGAGTGGCTGCACCAGCTTGCTTTCTCACCAGCAATGTAAGAGGGTTCCCTTTCTTTGCATACTCACCAACACCTGTCATTTCCTGACTTGCTAATTTTATCCATTCTGACTGATGTGAGGTGGTTTCTCATTGTGGTTTTGATTTGTATTTCCCTGATGCTGAGTGATGGTGAGCATTTTTTCATGTGTCTGTTGGCCATTTGTCTTCTTTGAGAAATGTCGTTCATGTCTTCTGCCCATTTCTTGATTGGATTATTTATTTGTTCTTTGGGTATTGAGTTTGATAAATTCTTTATAGATTTTGGATATTAGCCCTTTATCTGATAAGACATTTGCAAATATCTTCTCCCATTCTGTTGGTTGTCTCTTGGTTTTGTCGACTGTGTCCTTTGCTGTGCAAAATCTTTTTAATTTGGTGAAGTCCCAGTAGTTCATTTTAAGTCCCCAACCCTTGATTTCAGTTCAGGTCATAATCTCAGGGTGGTATGGCTATTTGATAGTTCTAAGGTCTATTTTAGAAAATAACTTTGGAACATAAGGCATTTTGTCTATTGTTCTTGTCTTAATTATTTGAAAATACAAGGCTCATATTAAGGTAAATTTGTTAACTCTTTCAGTATGTGAATGTGAAAAGGTAATGAATCCATATACACCCTCATGTATCACCTGACTGGAGCAGGATGTATGCTTAATATACTTGTCTGGAGTGTGTCACAGGCTTATATGAAAGATCAACCCTAGTCTAGAGGGACCTTGGACTCTTTAGTCCACAAATAGAACTTGTCTGGTAACCCATGTTGGAGCAAAGCCAAGTGTTCAAGAAGTCCCAGGCCTAGGAATGTCACATCAAACCTTTCTGGTGTCACTTCTACATTAATTTTGCTGAAAGTACCCAGCCAAAATAGCTTCCTGCAGCAAAGTCACTTTACTATCATCAAATAGAACATGTCATAATGATGATAGTAATTATTTTTTTTAAATATGTGATAGTTGTGTATCCCATCCATAGGAGATCTAGTTGTTGTAGCTAGTTTATTTTGATACACTTTATTTAATGTGTTACTTTAACAAATTCCAACCCTCAATTTGTAGCAGGTAAATGGTAGCAAAATAATTAAGTTGACAAAATGTTACCCCTTTTAAGCTACCTCATGTCTCCCAAGTTTCTATGTGTAATGATGCATTAATATAATCCATGGAAATTCAAAGAAATAATACTTACTCATAAATAATTAGTACAGCAGAAACCAATATTATTAAATTATACCTCTGCCCTATTTTTTTAATTACTTTAGAAGAAAGAAAATTATATTATGCCAGAGAAAGTTTTGTACATAATGAGATAACATTATACTACTTTTTTCTTCTTTAATCTTAGAGAATGGGATATTATAGAAACTGAAGAGCATTATAAGAGCCGATGGATATCAATTAGGATTCTGTATCTTACTATGTTTCTCAGCAGTGTAGGTAAGTATTAGAAATTATATATAATTATAAAAATTAGATAAAGTATCTTATTTTTTTAAGATTTTATTTATTTATTTGACAGAGAGAGACAGTGAGAGAGAAAACACAAGGAGGGGAGGAGGGAGAGGGAGAAGCAGGCTTCTCACCAAGCTGGGAGCCCGATGTGGGGCTTGATCCCAGGACTCCAGGATCATGACCTGACCCGAAGGCAGATGCTTAACAACTGAGCCACCCATGTGCCCCTAAAGTATCTTATTTTAATATCACTTAATTTTTAAATTTTTTTATTTTGATAAAAATCAGATAATATAAAATTTCCCATCTTAAGCATTTCTAAGATCAGAAGTATTGTTTGTCTACATGATTATGTAACCAATATCCAGAACTTATTCAAACTTGCAAAGCTAAAACTCTGTACCCATTAAACAACTCCTCATTTCCCCCTCTTCACAGGTTCTGGCAACCACTATTCTTTCTGTTTCTACGAATTTGACTACTCTACATACTTCATATAAATGGAATCATACAGTGTTTGTCTTTTTGTGACTAGTTTATTTTATTTAGCATAATGTTCTTAAGATTCATCCATGCTATAATATGAATCAGAATTTCCTTTCTTTTTAAGGCTGAATAATAGTCTATTGTATATGTGGTGGGGAGGAAAATCTTTTCCTCTACTTTTTAGGTTCTGTAGCTGGACCGTGCAAATTAAAGCAATGAAAGGCAGATCAATAGAAAGAAATCTTGCCATTTGCAGCTACATGCTACATGGGTGGAGCTAGAGAATATAACGCTAAGCGAAATAAGTCAGGCAGAGAAAGCCAAATAACATATGATTTCATTCATATGTGGAATTTAAGAAACAAAACAAAAAACAAAGGAAAAAGAAGAGAGAGAGAAAAATCAAGAAACAGACTCTTAACTAACTATAGAGAACAAACTGATGGCCAGTCAGGGGAAGAGGAAGTGGGAGGTTGGATGAAATAAAGGATGGGGATTAAGGAGTGCACTTGTCATGAGGAGCACTGGGTAATATATGGAAGTGTTGAATCACTATATTGTACACCTGAAAGTAATATAACACTGTATGTTAACTATTACTGGAATTAAGATAAAATAAAGTAAAATGAAATACTTCTAATTTTTAGTAGTTAATTATCTAAAATTATAAGTAATAATTTTAATTTTAATAGCAGAGAAGAAAATTATTTTAACTTTGGATTTTAATTAGTATGTTAAACATTTTACCTGTTATAAGTTTCTTGATTGTGTAATTGTAACCTTGATTTCAAATATTATTTTACTATTTCAGTCCTCTTTTCGTCTAAATCAATACTCAAAATACACTAAAATGAAACTAATAACTAAATTATTTTTCAAAATAGGCTTTCTAAAAAGAATGATGTATTGGGTGCCTGGGTGACTTAATTGGTTATTAAGCATCTGCCTTTGGCTCAAGTCATGATCCCAGAGTCCTGGGATCAAGCTCCACATTGTGTTGGGCTCCTTGCTTAGTGGGGAACCTGCTGTTCCTGCTCCCACTGTGTGCTCTCTCAGTCAAATAAATAAATAAAATATTGAAATAAATAAATAAAGTCCATGTTATAGTTCAAAAAATTATATCTATAAATATTGATGAAAGCATTTTAAGCATAAATAACACACTTTGCCTCTTTACAGGATTTTCCATTGTGATAATGTCAATATGGCCATATCTCCAAAAGGTTTGTACACTTCAATCTATTATTCTCTTAAGTAGCTATAGTAATAGTAACTCTTACATAGTTAAAAGTTTTCTTAAGAATCTCTCTGGTGTCTTATTGATTTAATCCTTACTAGAGTAATTTGAGATAGTAATTCCTCAAAAAAGGCTTGCAGGTAAGGTGATCAAATGCTTTATTGTGCAAACCAGAACACTCTTGAAGTGAAGGGAGTACTGTATCAGGAAAACAGGATCCTGGACAGTCCCAGGCAAATGTAGATGTATGGTCACCTACTTACTAACCACTTTCACATCCTATCAATACCAGCTCCTTGATAAAAAAAGACACTACACATTACACATTGTCTGAATTCCCAAAATGTACAAATGACATTTCTATGCAGTAATTTTGTGCTTTCCTGTAGAATTAATTTGGGTTGTCAGATGACATTGTAAAAAGAATAGATAATATATGTGTTTTTATGCTTTGGTTACTAGATGGGAAGGAAGGGGTCAAGAAGATGCAAGTTTAGTGGGTACCCTGATATCAGTTAATCATCAAGTCCTACCAAGTCTATCTTTAAAATATATATTATATATATTTATTATATATATTATATATATATTATATATTATATATATTTTAAAGATAGATATAAATAAATTATATATATATATTTTAAAGATAGACTTGTAGGACTTGATGATTATATATATATTGACATATATTCACATTATGTTATATGTCATATATATAATATATACAAATACATTATATATGTATTTGTATATATTATATATATATTTGTATATATGTATATATATACATATGTACATATATGTGTATATTTGTATATATATACAAATAAATTATATATATAATTTGTGTATATTATATATATATGACATATAACATAATGTAAATATATGTCAATTCTGTCTTAAATCTCCAGGAATGAATTTACTGAAAATCAGTATATAAGTTGCAGATGTAATTCATCTATAACAATATTTCAGTTAAGATTCTTGATGGAGTTCCTCCTACTCTCCTACCTCCTATTCACTCATTAAACTGCTGTGATCAGATTAACTCCTGTGATGGCCTGAAACTGCTCTCCTTAAGGTCTTCAATTACTTAATTGCTGAGCAATAGATATTTTTCAGTACTTTAGGTGACATTTGAGTAGCATTTGACATTGTTGTCCTCTCCCTGCTTCTGAAAATCCTCTCTTAGCTTCTATACGTTTCTTTTTCCTGGCTTTGCTCTTTAAATATTTGTTCTTAAAGTCTTTTGTGAGTTTTCTTTATCAACTTGCTCCTTATATGTTGGTTTTTCCCAGAGGTTGAACAGTGTGTGTGTGTGTACTCACGCACGTTTGTGTATGTGTATTGTAGCCTAAATCCTAAGCTTTGGTCCATGTTAGATCTACAGCAAACAATTTGTTAGATATATCTACTTGAATGAACCTAGCTTCCTAGGGTCTTTGTACATTTTTTTCTGGAATGCTTTCCCTGCCTTTTTCTCTCCTTTCCTCTGTCCTTCCCTTCCACCCTACTTCCCTGTTATCTTTTATTCATTCTTCAAGGCTTTGTTCCCAAAAGCCTTCTCTGGTTGTTCCCCAGCCCAGTTTGAGTTAGAAGGTTTTCCTGTGTGCTTCCATACCCCTTTATTATTAACACTTACCACTGAGTGTCATAACAGTGTGTTTATGGAGAATTAACTTCCCTACTAGATTGTTAGGATGCTCAGATGGCTTCAACAAAAATACTAGACATATTTGATGAATACCTGAAGATTAAAAATAATGCCTATGATACAAAAACTTACTATTTTATATTTCATTTTAGATTTTTTAGTTTTTATGAATTTTTAACTTTCTGAAAATGCTAACTTTTAAAATATCTGATATTTTAAAAGGAATATAAGGACAGAAATACAAACTTCATTTTTTACTGATTTGGTGCCACGTTTTCATTGCTACTTTGAAATTTATTTGAAAATTAATCAAAAAATTATATTACTTGAAATTATTACACATGACACTAAAAATTCTTTCCTTACTGGCATAGTTACTAGAATTAAAGCAGAATACTTAACAATTCTAGAGCAATATCTTTTTTCCCAAAAATATATTTCCATGCGTCAAAACTCTTATTATTTCTATGGTCCTTTTATTCAGTCTGTTTAGCTTCAAAATTATCAAAAGAAGAGTATCTACAATAATTGGGTCTACTCGGCACAATATGTTGAATTTTGAAAAAGTACACTCCTTTCTTCAGATACTTGAAAGCTCTTTAAAGGTAAATTTAGTGAGTCCATAAACTTATAACTAGTTCTTTGGCAATACAAATATAGTAATTTCACTAAAAAAGTTATCAACTAATTTTCTCAAGTTATTTCTTAATAATAATGAAAGTTCGCTGTGTGATAGGTACAGTAATAAACCTTTCACCTTTTGATATTCATAACAACTCTGTGAAATTATTATTATCACTCCTGTTTGGCAGGTGAAAAACTCACACTCAGAAAGTTAGGTAGCTTGCCTAGGGTCACACAGCTAGAAAATTGCAGAGCCAAACCTATCTGAAACCAAAATCTGACTCTTAACCAGTACTATGTCTACTAGGTTAAACTTCTAAAATCTTAATTTAAGGCTACCATCTCTTTTATGATAATATGTTGACAAATATTACTTAGCTTAAAAGCTATATGTGACAAAGATAAAAAACTTGACCTCCCCCCCACCCCCCAAAAAAACCCCAGTAAACAAAACAAAACAGTAAAGTATTTGAAAGGAATTTGGCGCTGGTGTGAACCTCTGAATTGTACTTCTTTCTGGCTCTGGCTGATAGATAGCCATAAGCCAAGTGATTGCTCAGTCTTTGTTGCCCAGAAGTGGGATAAATATCCAGGAAAATTTATATTCTTAAACCTAGATTTTGAGTTGGAAGGATAGGTTATCTTATAGGGCCAGGAAGATAGTGAGAATACTCATGCATGAATTATAATAAAGTATAATAATAAAATTGACATATTAGTAAAACAAAGTACTAAAAAATATTAGTTTTTATGTAGTATAGGTTAACATTCATTGAGTCCATATATATGCTGACATTGCCCTAAGCACTACACAGGTATTGGCTCAAATAATTCTTATAACAACTCTGTGAAGATATCCTCATTTGACAGATAAGAAATTGAAACATGTGATTCCCCCTCCCTCCCACCCCCACCAGCTACTCAATTACTGGATAAGCAAAGCCTGGCTTGGACACTCCTTGATGATGAAACCCGGTTTGGAAAGTCTGTATTAACTCATCTTTCTACCCCTATTTTCTAGCATAGTTTTTGTCATAGAAAGGCACTTAGTGACTATTAATTGAATTAATGAGCAATGATCTACACATAAAGAGGCTTGGAACACCCATATTCATGTCTTAATTCCTATAGCAAAGCATGAAGATTTCTAGAACTTTGACTTTGTCAATGTTATTAACATTTTTAGAGAATAATGTTTTGATATTCAATACCATGTACTTTGGAGTTTGGAAAGGGTTTTGTTTAGAGACCATATAGATCCAAGTTTCACTGCAGTGTAATACAAGTTATTACAGATGATTACTATATACTATACATTCATAAAAGTCTAAAAGTATGGGTATGGGGTGCCTGGTTGGCTCAGTTGGTTAAGCAACTGGTTCTTGATTTCACCTCAGATCATAATCTCAGGGTCGTGGAATTGAGCCCTGTGTGGGTCTCTGTGCTCAGTGCAGAGTCTGCCTGAGATTCTCTGTCTCTCTCTCTCCCTTTTCCTCTGCCCCCCCCCTGCTCTCTTGTTCTCTAAATAATAAATAAATAAATAAAATTTAAAAAAAAAAACTTTAAAAAAAATGTATGGGTGTGTATGTGTGGGAGAGAGAGAGAAAGAGAAAGAGAGATTCAGAGAGAAGGAGAGAGAGAGGCAGACAGATAGACATGGGCTATTAGGGGGATGTTTCTAATCCAAACTTAAATTCTGGAAGACTTTCCAAAGTCACACTGGAGCTGAGTTCTGAAGGTCTGCAGATGTTAGTTTCCTGAAGATAAGGTGTGGGCCAGGGAGTTGGAGGTGGGAAGGCATTGCTGGTAAAAGGGAGCAGTAGAGAAACCAGCACAAAGTCCTGGAGGCGAAGAACTTGACTCATTTTGGAAAATTCGAACAGTTCTATGTGGCTAGAAATTAGAATTGGGGGAAGGATACGTGCAGAGAGAGGACTTTAGAGAGGAGGGATAGTGGCCAACTTATGAGCTAGTTTTTCATAATAAGCAGTTTGGATTTTATTCTGAAAACAGTGTGATAGACATCACCGGAAATGGCCAGAGGACCAGAAATAAGATGCTGTTATTACTATAAGAGAAACACATATGAGCACAGATAACAGTTCAGTTACTGAAGTGACTGCCTTCTCTTATAGTGTATATACTGTATCTCCGAAACCATTTTATTTCCTGTTGCAATTATAATAGAATTCTAGGAGATTCCAGTTTTCCAGTCACCGTAAAGAATAGTAGCCGATTAATCGGGAGGGAGACAAACCATAAGAGACTTTTAATCTCACAAAATAAACTAAAGGTTGCGGGGGGAAAGGGGGTAGGGAGAAGGTGGTTGGGTTATGGACATTCGGGAAGGTATGTGCTATGGTGAGTGCTGTGAAGTGTGTAAACCTGGTGATTCATAGACCTGTACCCCTGGGGCTAATGATACATTATATGTTAATAAAAAAATTAAAAATTAAAAATTAAAAAAAAAGAATAGTAGCCAATTAAAAGTTTCCATTGGTCTCTAGCAAATACTATTAATATTGTTAGAGCCATCCCTAAGAGTTGGCTTCTATGAGATGGCTACTTGACTATAATCAATTGCTATCCTGAGAAGACAGTTTTATCCTTTTGCTTTCAAACCACATTTATCATTAAATTGCATTATTATTGCTTTTTTGAAAATTAATTAAAATATTTTTATTACATGAAGTTATTTTATATTTTAATAGATCAAAGGCACCAAAGGTAATGTAGGTAGAAAATAAAAACCAGAGTGCCTAAAATAAGAGATATTTTTAAGGCTAGAACTTTAATATTGTGTATCATTATACATATTCACTCCTATTTCTCATCCCCAACAAGAAAATGTACCCAAATATTTCCATTTTAAACTATTTAAAAATATATTTAGAAAAGAAAAGACTGTGGTTTTCCTTATGTTCTGTCACTTAACCTGAGTATATTTAAATCTTACTTTCTAAAATTTAATGGTTCTGATTTTTCCAAATTACTGTATAGCTTATCATATATTTTTAAAAAGTCTGCTAATTTATTCCATAGTCCCTTTTGTGAGCTAAAATTTTCTATTTTTTTTAAGTATTTCATTTTCTGAATTTAATCATTTGGTTCTCTCCTCAGCATTCATTGTGATATATAAACCTTCTTTCAGTGGTAGAACCCTAAGTTGTCTATGTTGAATGGAAGAATTAATAATAGGTTTAATGAGAGAATTATCTTTCAACTTTTGTGTTTTTATTCTCTTCTTTAAGGTTTTGACTATTGTACCCAATTTTTAAAAAAATACGTTTATGGAAAAAAATACATTTATGGTGCTAATGGCTATTTAGCTTATGGAGTAGCATAAGTCTAAACAATTATATTTACATTATTTTTTAAAAGATTTTATTTATTTATTTTATTTGAGAGAGAGAGAGAGAAGAGAGAGAGACGAGAGAGAACATGAGCAGGATGGAGAAGCAGAGGGGAAGAGAGCAGCAGATTCCCTGCTGAGCAGGGAGCCCGATGTGGGGCTCCATCCCAGGACCCAGGGAATGTGACCTGAGCCTAAGGCAGATGCTTAACCAGCTGAGCCACCCAGGCACCACCAACAATATTAACATTATACTAATTAAGGAATGGCGTATTATTTTTATGATGTGATTGTTTTATATATATAATGTGGTTATTTTTAACAAGATTTTTATGAACCAGAAATTCCCATAAATCATCCTAAAAGATGAAGTTTCCCAAGCATTTTTTTCCTAATGTGTAGTGAATTGGTAGCACATTTAATTATAATGTCAGAAGTTCAAATCCCTTATTATAAATAATAGTGTCACAAAACTTATATGTTAGAATTATTGTTTTTATTTCTTTAAATAGGAAATGTTACATGGTCTGAAAAATGTATTTAAGTTTTATAACCTTTATTTTTCTTGGATAACAATTCTTAAAGCATTGTACTTTTTTCTGCAGATTGATCAGACAGCTGATGCAAGTTTTTTGGGCTGGGTTATTGCTTCATTTAGTCTTGGCCAAATGGTAGCTTCACCTATATTTGGTTTGTGGTCTAATTATAGACCAAGAAAAGAACCTCTTACTGTCTCCATCTTCATTTCGGTTGCGGCTAACTGCCTCTATGCCTATGTCCACGTTCCAGCTTCTCATAATAAATACTACATGTTGGTTGCTCGTGGATTGGTGGGATTTGGAGCAGGTAATATATATGTATGTATATGTTTGGCTGTGTCAGACCTACATTCATGCTGACATTTATGGCCCTCTCTCAGCTGGTGTCACCCCCTCAAAATATCCTATCTCACATATAGATCTCTCATTACAAATAGACACATATCTTTCCTGTTATTTTGCCTTTCCTCATGATGTTCCCATTACTTATAGTTTCTTTATTCTGTTCCCATCATTCTTCATCCTTCAAGATTCAGTTCAAGTTCTGTATCTTCCATAAAGCTTTCTTAGGTAACTATTCCTTAACAGATCTTTCCTTTCTCTAGTCTGTGGCACTTGCTTACATACTGTTTTGCATTGTTTTCATCCTTTATCACTAACCAGATAGAAAACTTTTATAATGAGAGATAATTTATGACTTCCTGAAATATTCTGTGGCCCCTTACAGAATCTCTTGCACATAATAAGAACTCAAGAGAATTTTTTTCAATAAATTTTTTTCAGCCCAATTCATAGTGGATTTCTTTTTCTGTTTCTTATATTATGGGTGCAAAGCATGCAGTGTCTGACATCTTTGTTTTAAAAATAGTTGTAACAATCAGTAGTATGCCATTTACTCAGTGCTTTCTCCATATTTAATGAAGAAAAAAAGTTTAACATTTCTCTAATGCCTTTTTCATTCATTCAGATCTTTAACTGTGTTTTCATGTTACTGAAAGCAATATTTTCCATTAACTTATACATTTGCTCAATGTACATGCTTTGTATGATCATAAAGAGGAAGCAGTGATTTTTGTTCTATATAAAGCCAAATTAAGTTGAATTCTATAAACTGAAGAATATTTTCTTTTACTTTGAATTATTGTGTCTTTTTTTAGGAAATGTGGCAGTTATTAGATCATATATTGCCGGTGCTACTTCCCTTCAGGAAAGAACAAGTTCCATGGCAAACACTAGTGCATGTCAAGCATTGGGTTTTATTCTAGGTCCAGGTAGGGATTTTTCACTTGTCATTACTTGAATGGGAGAAATTTCAAGGTTCAAATGTTAAATGGGTCCAAGTATAAAACCTCATACCTGAAAGGACACTAATATTTTTTGATCCATCGGGAGGCTAGGCTCTTTATATGTGTTAACAAATGTCCTCTAAAGCAAATTATATCAGTCCCATTTTACAGATTAGGACACCAAGGCATAGAGAATCTAAATTATTCAAGGTCAGCCAGATAGCATATGGGAAATATGAGGTGTAAAGATAATTCTGACTCCAAAGTATATGTTCTTTGAAATAATCATTTAGCTTGACATCTCCATAATAGTTTGCCCCGGTTATTAGAAACAGAATTCTTTTGACTGAGTATTCAAGGAAAGTTATAGAAGGTTCTTTACCCTTCTGCCCTTTGCCCATGCCTTTCAGATTTTTCTAAGGTTGAAGAAAATGAAAGAATTTTTGAAAGACTGTTTAAAGACCATTTTTCTTCCAAAGCTTCATTTGAACTTTGAGTGTAAAACATTATTAATGAAATTTAGTACTTCCCCAAGGCAGGTAATTTTTTGCTGATTAGATAAATTAGTAATCTTTATGCTTAGAAAACATTAAAAAACATATAATTGTCTCATATTTTGAATATTACAGTTATGAATATCATTGCTTTGAATCCAGCTCAGTTTACTTCATCATTAATATCCCACCCTCACCCATTTCCATTACTTCCTTTTAGATAGCCAAGAAAAAGCTCTAAAATAGATAATCTAATTTATCCTACACCAAAATCTAATGGTTCAGTTTAGTATTCTGGAGTAAAATATAATAAGCACAAATGTAGAATAATTGGACTGACTGCCATATTATAAAATATATGAAGATACAGTCTGGTCTTTTTTATTTACCACTCTACCCTCGGTATCTAGCACAGTTCCTGGTATAGACTTAGGTTCTCAGTAAATATTTAGACCACTTAAGAAGTATTTTAAAGATTAAATAATGATAAAACAAAATAAAATAACTGAGGTAAAAGCATGCAATAAATCTCATAACATTTTAGAGCCAAGAAAATGGAAGTTCAGAGACAGTACTAGCTAGTATAAAGGCATACAGGACATTAGAAAAAAAAAGATCAGCACTAAAATTTGTATCATCTTGTTCATTGATTTGCCACATTTTCAACCTAAGAATAAAATAAATAATCAAAAAGAAAGAGATAGGAAAAAGGTATTTTACAGATTACCTCATTTAAATATTTATATTATATTTAGATGAGTAAATAATAGACCAGAAAAAGATTAGTTGACCTTTCCTATAATAACCACATTAACAGCACTAGCATTTAATGAATGCTTACTATGTGCTAGACACTGTTCTAAGTATCTTAAATATAGTATCTTACTTCATCTTTACCTTAAGGTTGCATGTAAATTTTGGAAGAGTCAGATATAGAATCTACATCAGGAAAGCAAACCAGTACTCTTCCAATCTGATTTTTGCCATAGATCCAAATTTTAAAAACATATATAATTTAAATACCTTACATACACATTGATAATTTGAAATATTGACTTAAAATGTTACATTCTGTTTCTTAAATTAAGTCATGATTTATTTATAGAAGAAACTGGATAGTTTAGATTTCCCATGGAGATGTTTTTTTAAAAAGGAAGATACTGACAAGTTACTTCCGATATAAAACTTTGTGAGTATATGTACATCGGTGTTTAACATTTTTCTCATTATTAGGAGCCTTCTTAGACATTTTTTTCCTAATACCACAGATCAATTGTATATCTTTTATGTACTGTATGAATATCTATGCTTTATACAGAAGAAATAGTATTGTACCCCATGCCCCTGAAATTTCTTGCCTCTATTGAGATACATGATGTAGATGGATGATTCCATAATGTTGCTTCTAATCTTGTAAATGTCTTTCACATTTTTTTAGCTTGTGCCTCCTACTTAATAATTCATCTGTATACATTTTATTTTATTAAGTTTTTCAGACTTGTTTTGCTCTCATTGGAGAAAAGGGCGTGACATGGGATACCATTAAACTACAGATAAACATGTACACAGCACCAGTTTTACTTGGCGCGTTCCTGGGAGTTTTAAATATTATTCTGATCCTTATTCTATTAAGGTAATTAGATAGAAATGATAAAACTACCTTTGTAAAATTGTGAAATTAAATAAGCATTATCATTATTGGGAGATAATTATTCCTATAAAGGCTTTGTTTGGCTTTTGATATCTATAATCATGTTCGTGTTTTGATCAGCTAATGAATATAGTACTCATAACAAATAATGGACAATCTGATAAATGAGAATAAAGTCTTTGAAGACTCAAGGTTTGATCTTGATTTCCTAACTATAGGTTTCTAAATCGGGGAATAGCATGAAAGTAACATTTTAAGTTGATTAATGATTGGTATCAACCTTAAACCCAAAAGTTACTTACCTCTCCTATCTTTTTTATTTATTAGAAGAAATTTTATAAAACTACAGAAGTTTTATTACTTTATATTTCCTTGGAGTACTTTATCCAAAGGCCCAAAAACATTAACAACAAATGTTCAAAATCATGGAAAACTTAAAATATTTATTAAGGTAGATCATGTGTGCTTTTGAATGAATTGAATATTATTTTTCATTTTATAGGATAATATAGTAATTGTAACTTGTACCTTTTGAATTTTGTTGGTTATATCTCACTGGTAGTAATCTCATTACTCAGAAGTCAGTAAAAGAAACCCATATCAGAATGTGCAAAAATAGGAGGCTACTAATAAATTTAAGTCATTTATCTCTTATACTAAGTTTTTCATGGATACAATACTTATTTTTTTCTATTTAAGAGAACATCGTGTGGATGACTCAGGACGACAGTGTAAAAATGTTAATTTTGAAGAAGGTACTATTTAACCTGTTTGACTAAATTGCTAGAACATTATCAAAGTGTTTCTGATGATTCTGTCTGTCTGATATTTACTTGGATTTTGCTTCTGAGGACAGTACAGTGGGTGACCGGGGAGGATCTTCAAAGTTGAAAGTTACCTAAATTGATTATTATTTTTTAAAGTATTTTATTTATTTATTTGAGAGAGAGAGAGAGAGCGCAAGCAGGGGGAAGAGCAGAGGGAGAGGGAGAAGCGGGCTCCCCACTGAGCAGGGAGCCCAATGCAGTGCTCAACCCCAGGACCTTAGGATCATGACCCAGCTGAAGGCAGAGACTCAACTGGCTGAGCCACCCAGGCACCCCTAAATTGATTATTTTTTAAAAAGGCATGCCTAGGAGCTCCTTGGGTGACTTAGTTGGTTAAGCATCTACCTTCGGCTTGGGTCATGATCCCAGGAGAGTCCTAAGTAGGGCTCCCCCTCCAAGGGGAGTCTGCTTCTCCATCTGTTGCTCCTCCCACTCATTCTTTCAATCTCTTTCTCTCTCAAATAAATACATAAAATCTTTACTTTTTTTTAATTTTTAAAAATTTAAAAAAATTAAAAAGTTATGCCCAGATCAGTTATTTGGTGTTCATGATTGGCAAGGCTAAAACCATTGCTAAAAAAATCACTTCGTCTTTGTTGTAAAGAGCCAATATCCTAAAACCCTCCAGTTCTTTGGGATGATTTCAGTAACTTTCCTTCCAAATGTGTTTTTCTGTATCAAGCATTTCTTTACTCCCTTAATCATGGGAATAGGTTTCTCTCGTGTATTTTTATTCTTTTGGTATACTCTGCAAGTGTATATTTTCATCCCTTAGATCTTTCTCTGAACTCAGAAGTAGGTATCCAATCTGGCCAGTAGGTATATTTTACTAAATAAACCACTATTTTACTTCTTGGGGCGTGTACCCCTCTGTGCAAAAGATTGCAACTCAGTTCTTGCCTTTAAGGAGTTTGGAAAGTTGTGAAAAAAACACAGTGTTATTTTACCAAGTACTTTTATAGCCATTTTATTTAATTTCATGACAAAACTAGTGGAAGGTTAAGTTAAAAGTAGTAGGGTGGAGAACAGAGTGGTGAGGAGCATTAGTAAGTTTTTGAAAAAAGAAGTCTGATAATAGATTCCATGTGAGACTAATACAGGTGTGTAAAGGCCTGAACTAGGGCAGCAGCTAAGAATGGAGAAGGAATAGATACGAGTTTTTGAAGGGGAAAGAAAAAGTCAAGATTCTTGACAGATTAGATATGGCATATTAAGGAGTAGAGGGAGTTGTTGAAAATGTCTGTCAGGTTTTGAGTCTAGATAAGTGAAAGAATAGGTGAGAACAAGAATTTAGGAAGGGACATCAGTTGAACAGAGAAAATGATTTTGGTTTGGATCAAGCTAAATATACTGCTACAGTAGAAAAACTCAGAAATGCTGAGGCGTTCGTAACTTTGGCCATTGAGATGGAAGCTAGAGATACAAATTTCAGAGTAAGCCAGTGAAAAACTACAGCAACAAAGAGGGAGAGAAAAAAAAGGAAGGGGTAGATGAATTAAGTGTGGCAAAATATTGTTGAATAGAGGAGCTGAATATATATTTGAAGGCTTTCAAAATGAAAGAAAAGCAAAGGAAAGAAAGAATGGTGAGCAAGTGCCAGCAGGGGGTATAAGCCACTTTGCTTAAAATGTGAAAAATAGGGTGCTAACTTAAAGGACCTATCAGATAAAAGGAATGAACAATTTGAAGAGGGTGAGTATAACGTGGGACGACAAAGGAGATACATCAGAAGTGAAATCTTTTCAGAAGTTGGAAAAGGATAACAATATCGATCAGTGCTTCACTGACTTTAACATGCTTATAAAGCACCTGAAAAGCTTGTTAAAATGCCAGTTCTGAATCACTAGGCCTGGGGGAAAAGGGCTGATTAGGGCTGCCAGATAAAACACAGGATGCCCAGTTGAATTTGAATAATTTTTTAGTGTAAATATGTCTCAGCCAGTTAAATTTAGATTTCAGATAAGCAACAAATGATCTTTTATTTTATTTATTTATTTATTTATTTTTAATTTTTAATAATATTATATAATAATATATTTTATTATATATAATAAAATATATAAATAAAATATAATATATAGTTAAATAATATATTTTATTATTATATTTATATTTTTAATTTTTTTTATTTATTTGTATGAATAATCTTTATTATAAATATGCCTCAGATATTTCATGGAACATTCTTATACTTAAATTTCAAATATTGCACAGAAAATATTATTATTATTTATCACAAATTCAAACTTAACTGGGTATCCTGTATTTTTATTTACTAAATCTGATGAACCTAGTGATATTCTGAGAATCTACATTTATAATAAGCTATCATGGAAGCTGATGCTGCTGGTCTATGCAACACACTGTCCAGTATGGTAGACACCAGCCACATATGGCTATTTAAATTAAATTACATTTAAGAAATTCCTCAGGCACACTAGCAACATTTCAAGTGTTAAATTATGGGTATATGTGGCTAGCATCTAACTGAATTATACAACACAGGCAAAGAACATTTCCATCATGTCAGAGGTCTGTTGCACAGCACTGCACAAATGAGAATTTAGAAAAACCAGACTTATTTTCTTTCTTAAGAATCTAAGTACTTCAAAATGGTTTCCAAAACAAAAGTCATTTTTCAATTTCAGTAAGTATTTAAATCCGCCCGTTTTTTTGCTGTTATTAAAAATACTATCATTGGATAGATTATAATTTCTAATTACATAGTCTTTGAATCAATATATGAATCTATTGTTTTCTTAAAAATTCTTATAATTTGGGGAGACTGGGTGGCTCATTCGTTAAGCGTCTGCCTTCAGCTCAGGTCATGATCCCAGGATGCTGGGAACCAGCCCCTCATGGGGCTACCTGCTCAGCGAGAAGCCTGTTTCTCCTTCTCTCTCTCCCACTCCTTGTGCTCCTTTTCTTCCTGTGTCTTTCTCTCTCTGTCAAAGAAAACAAAACAACAACAAAAAAACAAAAACTAAAAAACCCTCATAATTGGATACCCAGTCAGTCCTCATAATCTAGAATGCAACGTTTCAGAGCTTTCCCCATTGAAACCAGTAGTGGGTAGAGGCTGCGGGAAACTAAGCACATATGAAGCAAACTCCAGTCTTACGTGGGGCAGGGTTGCCTTTTGATTCAAAGGAGTAAAGACTGGCTTCCAACTTTTTTATGATGAGAAAAACTGTCTGATGGAAGTAGCCCCTTGCCCCCTGCTGCTGCTACACATACGCTTAAAGATAGCACAGAAAATAAAGATGTTCTTGAATTACCAACTTGGTTTACTCTGAATAAGTGGATAATTTATAAAATAGCGTGACAGATGTATATAAGTAGATAAATATGGCTTCACACTTCTTGATTACATCAGAAATAGTCCTATTCACAGTCAATAGTGTGCAGCTTAACTACATAGTTCAAGATAAATAAGTACACTCACTTTACCCTCCTAATTTATTATTATTTTTTTAAAGATTTTATTTATCTTACCGAGAGAGAGTATACACAAGACACAAGCAGGGGAGCGGGAGAGGGAGAAGCAGGCTCTCCGCTGAGCGGAAGGCCTGATGTTGGGCTCCATCCCAGGATCCTGGGATCATGACCTGAGCCAAAGGCAGACACTTAACGACTAAGCCACCCAGGCGCCCCTGCCCTCCTAATTTATAAAACCACCATCAAATCTTGGTGGTTATTTGCAATATATATTTCTTTTTTTCTTTTTTTTTTACATTTTATTTATTTATTTGACAGAGAGAGACAGAGAGAAGGAACACAAGGAGGGGGAGTGGGAGAGGGAGAAGCAGGCTTCCTGATGATGAGGGAGAGAGATTTGGGACTTGATCTCGGGACCTGGGGTCATGACCTGAGCTGGAGGCAGATGCTTAACGACTGAGCCACCCAAGTGCCCCGTAAAATGTATTCCTTGATAAAAATATAAATAATAACATAAGGACTTCGAAGAATTGTGGTAATAACATGAAGATATTTACTAATTCTAATTTCACATAGCATTGAAATTCAAAATATATATCCATTGAAGTGAATCACAGAACTAACTGATTTAATAAACTATTATGAGGTCTTCATTGAAATCCTCATAAGTTTAAATTTAAGTGAAATAGGAAAAAACCTTGCAATGGAAATTTACTTTTTTAAAAGATTTTATTTATTGAGGGCGAGAAAGAGAGAGTACATGAGCAGGGAGAGAGGCAGAGGGAGAGGGAAAGGGAATCTACAGCAGACTCCCCACTGAAATGCAGAGCCTGACGCAGAGCTCAACCTCCTGACCCTGAGATCATGACTTGAACTGAAACCACGAGGTGGCCGCTTAACCAACTAGCCACCCAGGTGCCTGCAATGGAAATATTTTTAGTATGAGATCATTTTATATAATTTTATAATATTCCTGTTTTAGATTGAGAGAAAGCTTGTAGAAAATACGACTATTTCCTATAGATAACAGAAAGTATAGCTCCTGGGAAGAAAATTCACTTTATTTTCAAATGCCATTATAAAAATTATTTCTGTTGGGGTACCTGGGTGGCTCAGTTGGTTAAGCATCTTCCTTTGGCTCACGTCGTGATCGGAGGAGCCTGGGATCGAGGCTCACGTTGGGCTCTCTGTTCTGAGAGGAGTCTGCTTCTCCCTCTCCCTCTGCAGCTCCCCCTGCTTGTGCTCTAGCTCTCTCAAATAAGTAAAATCTTTAAAAAATAAAAATTATTTCTGTCTTAAATTGTTACTTTTAAACTGCTTTGAGCCTAAAAGTGATTTTAAATGTTCAGTCATAGAATTTGCTACATATAATTTCGACATTATTTTAGTGTCATCAGAAAAATTAGATGTTTAAGTAATAAAATTTTTCTCCTATTTATTATAGCAAGTACAGATGAAGTTCAGGTTCCACCAGGAAATATTGATCAAGTTGCGGTTGTGGCCACCAATGTTCTGTTTTTTGTGGTTCTATTTATCTTTGCCCTTTTTGAAACGTAAGTTTTATTTTGTCTTCATCAAATCACATTACATAAATAATGCAACTTATAATAATACAAATTATAATGAATAATAATGAATATGAATTATTATGAATAATAATAATGAATAATGCAATTCTTAATACAACGTTAATCAGGTATATCGATGTTCTCAAAAACTTTATATAAGGCATATTTTTTGTCATGATGAAAAAAGTACATATAAATTTGATGCTTTTAACCTGAATACAGTTTAATACTTATCTGTTATCTTACTACTTTATCTCACTTCCTTATAAAGGAATCTGGTCACTAGTCTTTCTTTCCTTTTTTTGAGTTTTATATATATATATTTAATATAGTTCTAAAACTTCAGTGCCATGATTTAATTAACTTTAGGCTATATAACTATCTATTTATATTTACATGTATTGGGTTCAGTCTGGCAATGTTAATTCTATTCAAGCTCTGATCCTGAAAAAAAAAAAAGTAGTATATTATAAAATCCTTGACTTGTGTAGGTTTTGTTGACTGTTAGCTATCATATGGCTTTTTGTTTTTAAAATGCCTTTCCATTTTATTGTAAAAATAGTACATTCTTGGTATAAATATTCTAAACTCTATAACTGTATCTCCACATCCACTTCTTTCCCTGGAAGTAACCACTGCTAATATTTCAGTATTAATTTTTCAAATTCTTTTCTATATAAGTAGTGGGGTGTGTGTGTATATTAAATCAACATAGAATATGGACATCACTTGAAAATTTGGTTTATTCCTTTGTAATCATTGTAACATTTTTATGCCAGTACATGTAGATTTGCTTGATTTTTTATTTTTAAAATTATTGAAGTATGTGAAAATTTCAGTTCATCTGATTTTGGGGGCATTTTTAAAAATTGTGGTAAAATATACATAACATAAAGTGTACCATTTTAACTGTTTTTAATTGTACAATTTAGTGGCATTAAGTCTATTCACAAATGTTGTACAACCATAACTCCTATCCATTTCCAGAATCTTTTCCTCATTCTAAATAGAAGTTTTATACTCATTAAACAGTAAGTCCCCAGTGCCCCTCACCCAGCCCCTGGTAGCCTTTATTCTACGTTCTCTGTGGGTTTGCCCAATCTAGGTACCTCAAATAAATGGAATCATACAACACATTTCCTTTTGTCCTTTTGTGTCTTGCTTATTTCATTTAGCAAGATGTTTTTAAGGTTCATCCATATTATCGCATATATTCGAATTTCATACCTTTTATGGCTAAATAATATTCCATTGTGTTTATATACCAGTTTCATTTATCCATTCATCTATCAGTGGATTTTGGGTTATTTCCACCTTTCGGCATTTGTGAATAATACTATGATGCTGTGATGAACACTGGTGTACAGGTATATGTTTGAGTCCCTGCTTTCAGTTCTTTTGGTTATATACCCAGAGGTGGATTTGCTGAATCATATGGTAATTCTATGTTTAACTTACTGAGAAACTACCAAACCATTTTCCACATCAGCTCTTCTGATAATCAAATTAAAAATGGTGATATTCTTTTTTTTTTTAAGAATGAGTATCTTAAATATATATATATATATTTTGAAGATTTTATTTATTTATTTGACAGAGAGAGAGATCACAAGCAGGCAGAGAGGCAGGCACACAGAGGGGAAGCAGGCTCCCCACTGAGCAGAGTCCGATGCGGGGCTCAATCCAAGGACCCTGAGACCATGACCTGAGCCAAAGACAGAGGCTTAACCCACTGAGCCACCTAGGTGCCCCAATATATTTCAATTCGATTTTGTAGCCAGTTAATAGAGGAGATAGAGAGTAGGAAAAGAATCTTGGCAAGGAAGGAGACAGTCATATAGAAGAAGAATAACATTCAGAAGTAGGGAAAGAAGGGTACCTGGGCGGCACAGTCAGTTAAGCATCTGCCTTCTGCTCAGATCATGATCCTAGAGTCCAGGGATTGAGCCCCCTGTTGGGCTTCCTGCTCAGAGAGGAGTCTGCTTCTCCCTCTCCCTCTGTCACTCCCTCTGCTCTTTCTCCCTCTCTGTCTCTCTCTTACTCACTCTATCAAATAAATTAATTAAATCTTCCAAAAAAAACAAGAAGTAGGGAAAGAAATACATTCAGAAATAGGGATGAAAGAGACTGAGGAAGAAAAATCCAGCAAGTTTCTAATAACTTAATTACAGAAACATTGTTACTATTATGTTATTACTTATTTCAGTGAAATTTAAAAGAAACCAATTTAAACCCATTTAACCATGCTAGTTAGTTAGAATGGTAAGAATTACAGTTTGTTTCTTTTCCTGCCCTTCAGAATTTTTGCAATGTGGATATATTACTTATATAATTAGAATAAATATTAGTAAATAAAAAATACAAACAGCCTAACTTAGTAGCTAGTGCACATAGCAACAAAATGTGCTTAAAATGTGTTAATTTTTTTTTAATGTAGAACTGGTGTCATTTCTAAAAGGGGTGCAAATTCTTGAATATATCAATATTGTTATTAAAGCTTCTATTTCACATTTATAATGCCTATGATTTAAATTAAAAAAATTTTTTTTTTTTAGAATCGTTACTCCATTAACAATGGATATGTATGCCTGGACTAGAGAACAAGCTGTATTATATGATGGAGTAATACTTGCTGCTCTTGGAGTTGAGGCGGTTATTATTTTCATGGGGATTAAATTACTTTCCAAGAAGTAAGTTATGTGTCTTTGATTTTGTTTCAGTGAATTTTAAAATAGACTTTTAAAAAAGTCTTTTTTCTAAAAAAGTGAAACATGAAACAGAGCTAACAATGTAAACAACTGTGTTTGTAAAATACCTTAAAGTTTTTCTCTCATTGTGTATTACTTTTAGTCCTTGAATGGTTGCAAACAGATTTAAAGTTTATTAAGGGAGCATGATATTTCTATACCATATGGCATATTCTTTGGTAAAGCAAGATATTTTACAAAGTGAATTAATTTCTTCTAACATATCTTTTGTATATTATGGTTTATTTAAAGTATTTCTTAAAGTGTATTTTATAAAATTCTATTCTGCTGTATAGGTTGTACAACAGAAAAGATTCAATGGTTAAGTCTGGAAAATTCTGTAAAATTACCAAACTTCTTTTACTCTAAAATTTCCAAATCTTCAGTGCATATATATAATATCACCATAATGACAAAGACATTATGTAGCATTTCTCAAAGTTACTTGTAACTTTGACCACAGAACATCCCTTTTCTAAAAATTTTTAAAAGATTTTTATTTATTTGAGAGAGAGCAGGAGCATGAGCAGAGGGAGAGGGAGAAGCAGACCCCCTGCTCAGTAGGGAGCCGGCTGGGCTGCAGGGCTCAATTCCAGAATCCCAGGATCTCAACCTGAGCCCAAGGCAGACACTTAACAGACTGAGCCACCCAGGCACCCCAAGAACATTGTTTTAAAGAAGCATTTTGTAAAACTACAACTGCAGTAACATGCTTTGGGGAAAGTGCTTGTATAAAATTAAGTTCATTCATATAGTCTAAGATGGCACATTAGTTGATGAATTTAGACAATTCTAAGAATTTAATTATTCCTAAAATGCTTTAATAATACTTTAGAACTTTAGGGGCACCTGGGTGGCTCAGTCGGTTAAGCATCTGCCTTCCGCTCAGGTCATGATCCCAGCGTCCTGGGATCGAGGCTGCTTCTCCTTCTCCTGTCCCCTGCTCATGCTTTCTCTCTCTCACTCTCTCTCTAATAAATAAATTTTTAAAATCTTTTTTAAAAAATACTTTAGAACTTTATAAAGTTCTAAAATCAATTAGCAAATCTTGAGTCCGTGTGTAGGGTTAAGCGTAATGGGAGATACTATGAAGATTCCTATGTTTATAGACCCGAATAGAGGAGCCAAAATACAGATACAAACATAGACATAGATTTATATTCAAAATAAATAATAGTAAATGCATTACAGAGTAGAGCAGTCCTGCTGATAGGCATTTTTACAAATTGTCCTATTCATACCTTCAAAGAGCTTGTATGCTAATGGGTGGGAAAACCAATAAATAAAAATGTAAAATCAGGTAGTGATAAGTACTATGAAGAAGAATGGAGAGAGGAAGAAAATAAAGATTAGCAAGGGCAGGGTTGGGAGAGAGCAGCAGTGCTAGAAAGAAGCAGGCAAACAAATTTGGCTAGGGCAGAATGAAAGAAATGGCAAATGGGAGAATTGGACAATCTGTAAGAATGCCTATCAGCAGGACTGCTCTACTCTGTAATGCACTTACTATTATTTATTTTGAATATAAATCTATGTCTATGTTTGTATCTGTATTTTGGCTCCTCTATTCGGGTCTATAAACATAGGAACCTTCAAATGGGAGAACATCAGGTTAGAAAGATGTGAAACCTTGTAGGTATTCTGAGGGTGATGTGGTGTTTGGGTTTGTATATATCGTTTTAGGAAGTCTTTTTTTATTTATTTTTTTAAGATTTTGTTTATTTATTTAACACAGAGAGAGAGATCACAAGCAGGCAGAGAGGAAGGCAGAGGGAGAGAAAGAGAAGCAGGCTCCCCACCAACCAGAGAGCCCGATGTGGGGCTTGATCCCAGGACCCTGGGATCTTGACCTAAGCCGAAGGCAGAGGCTTTAACCCACTGAGCCACCCAGGCGTCCAGGAAGTCTTTTTTTAAAGATTTTATTTATTTATTTGAGAGAGAGAGGGAGCAAGAGAGAGAGAACATGAGCAGGGTGGCAGGGGGAGAGAGAGAAGCAGACTCCCCACTGAGCAGGGAGCCTGATGCAGGACTTGATCCTAGGACCCTGAGATCATGGCATGAACCAAAGGCAGACGCTTAACCAACTGAGCCCCCTAGGTGCCCTGTTTTAGGAGACCTTTGGTCTTGTTTGTATATTTCACTTTTATTATAGAAAATTTCTAACATATACAAGGGAATAGAGAGCATCATGTACTGAATTTCTAATATCCATTACCCAACTTCAACAATTATCAATCCTTGGTAAGTGTGATTCATCTGCCTACTCCACAGGGAGGCTCCTTGAGTTTCTCTTCCTCTGCCCCTCCCCCCAGTGCATGCACACATGCGCTCTATTTCTCTCTCTCTCTCTCTCTAAAATAAATAAATCTTAAATAAATAAATAACAAAAACAAATTTTAAAATTAAGTGATTTCTGATTATCCAAGCAGTATTCAAATGTTCTCTATGGTTGCAATAGTTTTTAAAATTTGTTTTATTTCATACTGTCTTATTTTGTTTCACGACTTACTTGACTCAGGCTCTTAAGTTTCTTAAGCCTTTTAATCTATACATTTATTTTTCTCTCTTATTTTCCCTTCCAAATTGAAGAAACCAGGATGTATGTTTTATAGTTTCTCGCATTTTGGATCTCGCTGATTAAGTGAATCCCTGTGGTGTTTTTGTTCTTGTTTTTGTTGTTTTACATTTTCCTGTGTTTACTATATTTCTCAAAAATTGGTCCTTAGATCTAGAAGCTTGATGAAATTTAAGTTCAATTTTTTGACAAGAATATACTTTATAGATGGTATTATATGCTTACATCATGAAAAATGTTACATTTTGTTTATCTCTTTTTATACTGTTAGTGACTGTCAAGCATTCCTAGATTCATTAATTTATTAATAGATCATTATATAATGCTGGTTTTTAATTCTATCATGTCTTTATTTAATTTTTTGGAATATTTTCTTTAAAGAGAACCTTCTTATCACCAATTATTTGGTTATCTTGAGGTACAGTTTGTATAGGAAAGACAAGATGACTACTTCCTTTTATTAAATGATTTTTTTAAATAATGACTCAGCTTCCTAACATCCTTTAAAAGTAACCAAGAGCATTTTATTTTAATATAATATGAATTCATAGATAACGTTTTTATGTGTTTTAATCCATTGTTATTACTATTATTTTTGGTGTTCACACTGTTACGTTTTTGGCCAGCATCTTCAAATTGGCTCAGAGTACCTTTATCTAGGTACTGGGAGGGCCTAGTAGTCACCTCTAGCATCTAATACTTTTGGTAGGAAAAAATATCCAGACTCATCTTTTTCTTTTTTTAAAAGATTTATTTATTTATGTATTAGAGAGAGAGAGAGCAGGAACAGAGAAGGGGCAGAGGAAGCAGCAGACTCCCTGTAGAGCGGGGAGCTCATCTTGGGGCTTGATTCCAGGACCCTAAGATCTTGGACTTGATCCGAAGGCAGACACATAACTGACTGAGCCACCTAGGCACCCCTCCAGGCTCATCTTACATGTTTTCTGTTCTAGATCTGAAATCAGTTGGTTCTTTTTAGTGGAAAATTATATTTAACATTCATATTATTTGGTATATGACTAAAAGGATCAAGATATTATATCACAGTTTTAAAATATAAAAGTAATGGAACTATGTAATACTGTTTTGTTTTTAAATTACAAAGTTTATGTTCTTTCACAGGATTGGCGAACGTGCCATTCTACTGGGAGGACTCATTGTTGTATGGGTCGGCTTCTTTATCTTGTTACCCTGGGGAAATCAGTTTCCCAAAATACAGTGGGAAGGTATAACCATACACAATTCTATAATGTTTGCCCCTGTTATTCATCTAAAAGTAGCAAGTAATGCACTGTGCTAATTTTGTTTTAACAGATTTACATAATAATTCAATTCCTAATACCACATTTGGGGAAATTATTATTACTCTTTGGAAATCTCCAAGAGAAGATCACAATGAAGGACCAACTGGTTGCCCAACTGAACAAGCCTGGTGCTTCTACACCCCCATGATCCATCTGGCCCAGTTCCTCACATCAGCTGTGCTAATTGGAATAGGCTATCCATCCTGTAATGTTATGTCCTATACATTATATTCAAAAATTCTGGGACCAAAACCTCAGGTGAGTCATTTACCCTGATATTGCTATTGCAATTATATGAAATAGAGTTGTAAGCACTCACATTTTTTGCTACCATTCTCTATTTTCACACAAGCTGACTTGGTGGATTTTTATTGTATTCAGCCCTTTTTAAAATGATTTTTTTTTTTTTAATTTTAGAGAGAGAAAGCACCAGAGTAAGGGGAGGGGTAGAGGAAAAGGGAGAGAATCTCAAGCTCACTCCGTGCTAAGTGCGGAGCCTGGTGTTGGGCTCTATCTCACAACCCTGAGATGATGTTCTGAGCCAAAACCAAGAATTGGACGCTTAACCAACTGAGCCACTCAGGTGTCCCCCAAGTTTTATTTCTGACTCATCTTTTTAGTAGAAGTTGTTTAAATGGTCACAAAGTGAAAATATGAAGGGGCGCCTGGGTGGCTCAGTGGGTTAAAGCCTCTGCCTTCGGCTCAGGTCATGATCCCAGGGTCCTGGGATCGAGCCCCACATGGGGCTCTCTGCTCAGTGGGGAGCCTGCTTCCCCACCCTTCTCTGTCTGCCTCTCTGCCTACTTGTGATCTCTGTCTGTCAAATAAGTAAAATCATTAAAAAAAAAAGTGAAGATATGAATTTCTTCCTTAAAAATTTCACTGATAGTTTTACATTTTGAGGACAGAAATTAGTGTTTCTACTGATGCAAGACAAAGAGAAAAGAAAATTTTTAATACTGTGTTTTTAAGCTATAATAGCAGGTAAAGTATTTCTGAGGTTTTTAAAATATAAAATTGTATTTTCAAATTTTCAAAATCAAGAATAAAAGCAAATTACAAAAGCAATGTATGATAGTTGTAACAAAAGCCAAATGGTTTGAAGTGTGTATGGCAGAAAATGAAGGCTCCCCTTATCCTCAATACACTAAAGACCCCTGTTCACTTCATTTGCATTTTTCAATACCTATTCAAGCATATGCGTACTCTTGACTTTTTAGAAAAAGATAACACAGAATATATCACATATACATAAATTTTTTTCCATCTTGCATTTTTTACAGTAGCCATAGCTTTCTTTCCATGTTAGTGCTTATAGATGTTCCCTTTATAAGAGCTTACTTGATATAAGACCTTTTTCTTTTAAACAACTGATTAGCATTCCATTCATTAAATATACCATAATTTATTTACTTAATCCATCATTGATGGACAGTTAGGTGGTTTTCAATTTGAGGTACTGGACTAAGAAGAAGAATTGCTGCACTGTACATTCTTAGGTAGATTATTTGGGGTACAGTAGTTGGAAGAGTGACATTTTGGTATAGTGAAAAGTGGTATAGTGGAGTCAGCCAACCATGCCTCCAAATATTTTGGACAAGTTGCTTGAATTTTCTGGGCTTCACCTTCCATGTTTGTTAAATGGATCCCCATTTAATTTAATTAATTTAATTATCCAATACCAATTGTAGAAACTTGTGAATGTTGGAAACAATACATGTAAAACACCTAGCACAGTGCTTGGAAGATAGGGAGTATAAAATAAATGTTGGCTGTAAAGGATAATTAATAAATCATATTGTTTCCAGGGCTTCAGCAGACACTGTCCCTTTATACTACTATATTTTTCTTAAACTGACTAATCAAGTAAGTTTATTGTTCATTATTTGCTGTATTTATACAGAGGCATTTTATATATTTAATTCAAAAATCAAAGATGGAGAAAGTGATTCTTGTGAGTTTATTATAGTTTGCTAATAGTATTATCATTATTAGTAGGAGTCATACTAATAGTAGTAGTAGTATCATCCTATTTTTAAAATAGCTAAACCTGAATATCAATCAGCTTCTCCTTCCCTCTCCCTGCCACAGGGTGTGTACATGGGCTGGTTAACAGCTTCTGGAAGTGCAGCACGGATTCTTGGACCTGTGTTCATCAGCCAACTTTACACTTCCTGGGGCCCACGATGGGCATTCAGCCTTGTGTGTGGAATAGTGGTACTTACCATCCTGCTCCTGGTTGCAGTATACAAAAGACTCATTGCTTTTTCTGTAAGGCATGGAAGGATTCAAGAGTAACGTAACTAACTCTGCAATGGAAAGTACTTTGTATGGGACTTCCTCTTCCAGGGCTCTGCTAGATCATTGCTATGAGTCAGGTTCCAAAAGTCAGGCTGCAAATATTGTATATTTTGAATAACAAGAACATACATTGAATAATTCAGGGAATTCAATGTGTAATTGCGAATAATAAGATAATATTAAAACACTCTGGTTCATAATTTCCTTCTTTCAAAAGATATTCTATCATAACATCTCTTTTGGGGTGCATGAACTCATGAGTGAATGGACAATGGTTTATAAGTGGGAAGTTGTACTTTTAGCTTAGACTGCAGAGGTGTCATTAAAATAATGAGAAAATAGGCAGTGAAATCATAGGGAGAGTTCTGTATGAATTACCTATAACAAAAAAAAAAAAAAAAGAAAAAGAAATTACCTACATAGAAGTATCTCTGTTTGAAGATACCTACTTTTTATTTATTTAAAAATGCAATTTCTATTATCAAATTTCCTATGAAATAAAAATCATGACTCCTAAATTTTCTATTTATCATGGCCTGCTGTTCTACCTGATGTTCTATGTCATTATTTTTAATATTATACCTTTTGTCCTATTTTAGTTCAGGATCTCACTAAGTAACCCCTAAGTTAATAGGTAAGCACAAATAATGCTAATACTTGAGCAATAAAGAGGAGTAAGAGATGAAGATGAATTACACTATCTTCAATAGGACTAATTACAATTTTCTTTCAAGTACTACTAGTAATAACTCACTTTAGGAACATGAGCTAAGTGTGTTACAGTATACATATACTGAACAGCAAACTGTGTATTAAAATTACTGGCATTTTTCAACTCCCTTAAATTCTGGAGAAAAACTATCACTTCAATTATTTACTTTTCCCATCTCTTGGTAGTGACAGAGAAGACACAACAGTTTTCAAACTATGTGCAGCTATTCAGAACTGCAGAATTTTAAATTGGCATGGGCCATGACAGCCCCAGTCTAGCTAAGCTAATAAATATTTTAGGTAAATTTGCTTTACTCTATCAGTTTACTGAGTTTACTTGAAGTTGGCTAAATCACACTCTCTATGTATACATTTCTACCTCTACATATGTTGAATGCTGATAAGAGGAACTAGTATAGAATTATGTATATGGATGATCAATATTACCAAAAAATGCAAAAATATTTCTAAATATTTTACCAAATGTTTCCTACTCTAAGTTTTATTTTCAAATCTCAAAATAATTAAGTAAACACTATAATCTGCACTTTATACTGTTTACTGTACTCGTGTTTTTTTCCTTTTTTTTTCTTTTCTTTTTTTTTTGGGGAGGGGGCTTGAACAAAGAAATTTATTTCTCACAGTTCTGGAGGATAGAAGTCTACAATCAAGGTTGTCAGCAGGGTTGGTTTCTTCTGAGGTCTCTCTCCTCGGCCTGTAGAGATATATCTTCTCCCTGTATCTTTTGTTTGTTTGTTTTTCCAGCTTTATTGGGATATAATTTACATATAACATTGTGTAAGTTGAAGGTGTACAATGCATTGATTTGATGAATTTATATATAGCAAAATGGTTACCGCCATAGCATTAGCTAACACTTCTGTCTATCCTATCTGTCCTATCACATAATTACCCTTTCTTTTTTGTGGTGAGAACATTTAAGATCTACTCTCAGCAACTTTTAAGTATAAAATACAGCATTATTAATTGTGATCACCATGCTATAGAGTAAATCCCCAGAACTTATTTATCTTATAATAGGAAGTTCTCTGACCAACATCTTCTCATTTCCTCCACCCACAAGCCCCTGTCAACTATCACCCATTCTCTGCCTCTAATAGCTCAGCTCTTTTAGATTTCACATATAAGTCTCTGTCTGACTGATTTCATAATGGCCTCAAGTTCCATCCATGTTGCCACAAATGGAAGGCTCTCCTTTCTCATGGCTAAATAATATTCCATTACATACACACATCTTCCTTATCCATTCCCCCGTTGATAGACATCTAGGTTGTTTCCCTGTTTTGTCTTTTGTGAATAATGCTGCAGTGAACATGGGAGTGCAGATACCTCTTTGAAATCCTACCTTCATCTCCTTTGGATATATACCCATAAGAGGGATTGCCACGCCATATGGTAGTTCTTTATTTTTTGAGGAACTTCCATTCTGTGTTCCACAGTGACTGCACCAATTTACATTTCTACCAACAGTGCACAAGGGTTCCTTTTTCTCCACATCCTCATCTATACTTGTTATTTATTGTATTTTTCATACTAGCCATTTTCACAGGTGATAGGTGATACCTCATTATGGTTTTCATTTGCATTTCCTTGAGAATTACTGACGTGGAACATCCTTTCATGTCTCTGCTGGCCATATATATATATATGTCCTTTGGAAAAATGTCTGTTTAGAAACTCTGCCCATTTTTTAAAAATCTTTTCTTTTTTTTTAAGCTATATCCTCAATGTGGGGCTTGAACTCCCAACCCTGAGATCAAGAATTGCATGCCATATGAACTAAGCCAGCCAGGTGCCCCTCCTCTGCCCATTTTTAAATCAGACTATTCAGCTTTTTTGCTACTGAAATTTGCTGTACTCTTATATCCAACTTCTTTAGCTCTACTAGAAAGCTTAATCTGACAGAAATTATCCTGATTAAATTTTAGAGATTGTTTTGACTCATCTCCACCTCCCTTAGCAAGACCACTTCAGTTAGACTTATCAGAACCATAGTTAGGTGTCTGGCTGTTTGGTCAAGTCCTGGGATCTCTCTTTCCTGATGTTCTGCAGCTCTTTCCTCAGTCTTAACATTTTTTGGGTAACTTCTAATCCTAAGAGTGAACTCCACCCTTGGTTTAGATAGTATGTGTGATAGAAATAACAATAATAGTGATGATGAAAATAATAACATATTTTAGAGAATTCTTTCCATATTGCAGGTAATATGTAATATACAGTTTAATTTTCACAGCCATCTTATAAAGCAAAGATACTGTTGTGAGTCCCATTTTACAGATAAAGGAACAGAGGTATAGAGAAGTTAAGACACTTGTCTAAGTAACAGTCTGTCTTTAGACTCCACACTCTAAACCAGTAAATTTGTTATAGTGGGGAAAAGAGCCCAGAAAGTTGCAAAGCAGTTAATTGTGTATTTTAGCATTAAATTAAGTTAGGTATACCAGTGAATCATATTAGCAGAAATATTTGAAAAATGTAATTTGAACCCCACTAACTGGAGCTATTATCTTAGCAGAGTAGACTGTTTCTGTGCAAGAGTATGACATAGAGAAGTTTCCCAACTTCCCAAGATTTATAATATTAAATAAAGTTCCGATAAACTATAACCTTGCAAAAATGAGTAACACCTTTCTTTTTAGTAAGAGTGCTTTCTTTTCTGGGTGATTATACCACCACGCATCTTGGCATAGAAGAAGATGAGGAAGTGACATGGGGTTGAGGACAGGGCAGGGAGATAGATTTGAGGAAAAAATCACTAGTTAAGGTCTTGAGTGAAACAAGTGGAGTCTAAGTTGAAAAAGATGACAGGAGACCATAAGATATGAAAAATTGCTGAAAACAGTTTGTATTTAGAATGGTAAGTTTTTGAAAACCTAATCTTAAAGGATTTTTGTATTAGAAGGGATTTATAATTTCACAAGGCATCTCCATGTTACCTTGCTAGGCTGGCCTACATTCAAACTCCCCCAGTTATCTTGCCTAAAGTGAAATAGATACGTATGTAATATTTGTTTTGGGGAGTGTAAACTATTTATCTGCATCTGCTCAAGAATAGATTAACTTATTGTGATAGGATATTTTCAGGACCATTTTTGACTACAGATTTATTTGTAAGTTAATGTATTTTACATTGTGAATGTACACTTTCTAATAAAAAATTACTATGTATATGTATCTTAAGCCTTAAAATTATTTATTCATACTTTCAACACCTATTCAAGGGGTACCTATTATGTACCAATCACCGTGTCATCATTGGGAATAAAGCAGTGAACAAAATACATGGAGGCCCTGCCCTCGTGGGACTTAAATTAATTAATGAAGTGATTACACAAATGATTATGCCTGAAGCCAAGGTGATGCGAGAGAAGTATAGGGAGCTATGAAGGTGACGTGACTCATGGGGGATCTGATCTGAACAGGAAAGTCAGGGACTGTTTTTCTAAAGATGTAATGATTAACTAAGGCTTGGTGGAGAGAATGGTTTGGACTGGTGAAGAGTGAGACAAGTGCATTTCAGGCCAAAGGCAAAGCATGTGCAAAAACCCTGCAAGTGGTAAGATATTGGGGCATTCATGGGACTACAGATAGGTCTGAGGTGGCTGGAGTAGAGTGACTGAGGGAAAGTTGTGTTAGTTGAGGCTACAGAGGGAAAATGCAAGGCTTTGTAGAACTCAGGCAGTAGGTCTCCAGTGGTAAGTAAGAGGTATTCTAACTTTAGGCATGGTTAGAGTTAGGAGTCCAAAGAATGTCATCAGGACTCTCTTTTTCTTTTAGTTCTACATGCTTGACTTTATTTTCTCCATTCTGTGGCAAGATGAGCACAGGCAGCCCCAAGTTTGCAACATCTTTGTAACTCACAATACCAGAGAAAAATGGCTCTGGCAGAAGTATCAGAAAAGGCTCAAAGTTGCCAACTTTAACTTGCATACCCATCTGTGAACTGACCAGATGGACAGGGAATGGAATCCTCTACTAACCCAGGCCTGGATGGTTCATCCATTCTGGGAATGCAGTCGTCTGTACATTGAAGAGACAGGAGGGGAAGAACTGTCAGGCTCAACTTAATTACATAGACTAAGCAAATTTAAAGCTGAATGGAGAAGAGGAGTTTCCACCAAAGAAAGGTCTGTTGAGCTGACAAATATATATGTTTATCCACTATGCCTACACCTCCCAACTGTTCTCACATCAGCAATCATAGAAAATATTATATGCGCCATTGTGGAAAGTAGATGAAGTTGCTTATACTCAGCTTTTTCAGACCTACCAATCAAATCAGTGCTCTAAAGGGAGCCTGCTTCCTCCTCTCTCTGCCTGCCTCTCTGCCTACTTGTGATCTCTGTCAAGTAAATAAATAAAATCTTAAAAAATACATAAAAAATTAAAAAATAAGAAACCCATTGGTCCCCTTTGGAGGTTGCTAGGGCTTTAGTTCTTAATTCTGAAAACCAGAAAATAGATTCAAGACTCTATTCTGCATTTTGCATATCTAAACTTCAGGGTAATCAAATATTGATGAGGGAAAGTTATTTTCTATAGATGAATCCAAGTTAGGAGTGCCTGGGTGGTTCAGTTGGTTGAGCATCTAACTTGATTTTGGCTCAGGTCATATCTCAGGGTCATGGGATCAAGCCCTGTGACAGGCTCAGTAGGGAGTCTGCTT